ACTTTAAAGTAGCTTTTTTAGGCTGGAATAGTACAATAAGTGAACTTAGTCACTGAAATCTGTAAACCATGGTTTAGGTTTAATCAGTTATTTGAACCAACTCATAATGGCTTGTTCAATAAATTATACTTCAGGCAAATGTGGTATAGGATAATGTGGAAATCCAAGTACAGTAGTGCTTAAAAGTTTGTGACCCCTTTTGAGTTGTCAATATTTATAACCTAAAATGAGATCTGTTATCCATACAGTCCTGAAGGTTGATGAAGAAAATCTACTTGACTATTGATCAGTTTTGCACATCAGCTTGGGGAGATCACAAAAATCCTTATGTGTGGGAATGGCTGGTCCACACCCTGCAAAATCATGGTTTCTAGCTCACCCAACACTCTTAACTCCAAAAAACAAACAAACCCCATTTATTATATTGTAAAATTCCTTGGACTTCAGCCCTTTACCACATGGTCATGGCATTACATGCCCTCAGATGCTCCTAATGTTTGGAGGAATTCTGAACGGTGAAGTCAAGAGTACAGACAATGAGCAGCAGACATACAGTATGATAATGACAAAATAGCTGAGCATATCAGAAACACTTGCATTAATGAGTTAAAAACAAATGTGCTAAAAAGTAATGTTTCAATCAAGCCATAGTCCTTGCAGGTCTGGAAGATATAGATCATTACACTCTGTTAAGGTATACGATCTAGCTAGCCATAATGCTGTGTTGTAAATCATGGCTGGATTCATGAAATTGTGCTTAACCAAAGTAGGCAAACCATAGATTGGCTTAGTACGTTTTACAGATTTTGTATCCTGGGATGTGGAATGGGATATATAATGTATACCCATATTAATGGCATATATGTTAGTGGCAAAGTCTAGAAACACAAAATATAAATACATAAATATAGAAATAAAATTGGCTTGCATACTGAAGTTTTAATTCCATGTCATTGGAGTTCCAGGTAGTGATAGAAAAGCTCAGGCTGGAAATTTGGATAGCTACTGTCAGAGCTACATAAAGAATATGATATGAGGAAGCTGCCTGTGCTGTTTCCTAGGATAAGATTGTAATAATACTATTTTTTTTAAAAAAATGCTCGAGGTGGGCACATATGTAATATACAAATAAATCTAGCTATTTATAACTAAGCATGTTATACAACCAATGGAATCACTATATTAACAGTCTTTGCTTAGAAAGCATGTGGATTGGATGCCATTTGGCCTAAAGAAAAAACTGTCTCCGTTCTATGTATATTTGACATGGAAAAAAGAAAGGCTTGAAGCTAAAAGTATATTACACCCTCTGTTCCGGAATTAGAATTCTGAAAATGTCAGATCTGCCCTTACCGAAATCTGAACTAGCTTGCAGCCAGCATTCAAAACACACAGGGTTATGCATGGCTGAAGTCAATATGGTTGTATATGTGCATGAATGAAGTGGAACAATTGGAAATCAGGCATATGATTTGCACTGTAATGGAGCTTTTGGTTCCCTAGGGCAAAACACAATTTTTCACAGAGTTTCCCAATTTCTCTGCCGCAATAATGTGTGCTTAGATACTGTAGCTGCTAGTATGAATACCGTTGAAATCCTAGGTCTTCTATCTCTTTGGGGAATTGCTTCTATTTGTTAAGGTTGCTTTCAGGTGAATGCTGTCTACAGTTATGCTGGTGTTTGAAAGTGCAGCTGTATGAAGATGAGGAAACTATGGTGTGTAACACTTGAGATGGACAAGAGTGCTAACTCAATAGAGATTGAGGCTGGCTTAATTGTCTCTGATGGATTTTATTTTCAACATAACATTTTTGTGATCAAGCAAGTGTAAAGATTACAGGGGACTTATTTATACACACATGTGTAAATACATATTGCATGACAAAAAGGGATAACTTGCCAATGAGCTGCTCTAACACCTTCGATAAAACCGAGAATTTAAGGCTTAATGGTGGCTCTGTGTTTGAAAATATTTGGGACTCTTGTCCCTCAAGGAGTATTTCCAGGTCTCAACTGAGAATGTCTCAGTTCTGTGTAAAAGCTAATCAGAATAGAAGGACTTGTGGTAATGAGATCTCGGAGGCCCATAAACTGTTTTTCTCTTGTATTACCAGTGTGATACTCTCTGCAGTGCAGGTTTATTGTACTGCATTTTTAACCATCTATCCTTGCCTTTGGTTGGTTTAAAACTGAAAATGTATGGATAGAAATTGGCGCTGTTATTTTATTAATCTGGCTTCAGTTAAAGATAACATTATAAATTGACGTTTTTGAGCTAGAAAAGCTCTCCCTGGAAATGCCCTTTTTTGTGGGTTTGTGCCTTTCAATTAAGGATGTAGCCCTTTGTGAGAGATATACACACCTATCAGTCTTAACTATTGTGTCTGAGAAGGTTCCTGAATGGAAATTCACTAGAAGTGGCTTCTTTTTGCTAGATTCTGGCTAAATTCACTAGAGGTGGCTTCTTTTTGCTAGATGCTGGCTAAATTCACTAGAGGTAGCTCATATTGGCTAGATTCTTGCATTGCACTAATTCATAATTGGTTGGAATTGAATCAGCGTGGTATATAAACCTAACCATTGTGGTTGATAAACATTGTGTTCGGTGCTAAAAGCCCATTAGGGCTTGTTCAATAAACCATGGCTAAAGCAAGTCCTGAGTATGATGAATCAGTTGCCAATTATCTGCTTTCAAGCTATTTTCTTTCGGCCTCTTTGGAAATATGAATTAAACTGCATTCTCTCTTAAAATTGTGTTAATGCACCGGAGAGGCAAAATGCTCTCTGGGAGATGTTAATGTAAATTGAAGGTGACAGTCTTTAGTTTTAGGCTGTGTTCTCAATTAGCCTGGTAGTTTAAAAAGTAGGTTTTCTTCTGGATTAAAAAGTAGGTTTTAAAAAAAAAGAATTTTCACATTTAGGAAAGAAATATAACCATTTCCCGTCCCTTCAAAATGCATAAATTTGAAGTCTTGAGAGATAAAATATATTTTATAGGTACATCATATAAATAAGCAATTTTGTTCCTTTTTCATTCCTTCTGTGTTCTAGTTGCTATTCAGAATTTTAATCAAGTATTTACTCTGCATTATATTATCACTTCCACTGCAGCTACTGAGTGTATGATATTGTTCTGACACTTACCATCACCATTTTCTTTTCTAAAATTTAGTTGTTACAAAGATGTGCAGATTCTTTGTCCTCTGTGTTCATTCAGGGCACTATAGCTGCTTCAGGATCAAAATCATACCTATTTATATTTACTAATTTCAAATTTTAGTGTGAACTTCTGTTCTTCCTGAACATTTTTAACAAAAATAAAGACCAAGATACATTGGAGCTAGGTCTGGGCATGGCAGGGGAAAGCAGATGTGATTAAAGCAAAACGGAGACGGATTAATATCAGAAAAAAAAAACCTACATCAAATCTGTCCACAGCTGTTTGTGTATGTGTTTAATATTTTATACATGCACACTCCAAGCATACCCGCTCCTGGGAAAAGCTTCCTTTTTAAAAAGTAATGATTCCTCCCCCCACACCCCTGGTCCATTGTGACCAATATCACCCAGCCTTAAAAATACAAAGCTTTCATTTTTATCTGCCAAAACGTTTCCCCTGGCATTATTTCTTTGTTTATTTTTGATTAAATACTTAAATCATCTTTTGTTGTTGTTATTTACCTTAACATGACATCTCCTGGGCCAGTTCATATGATGGCATTGCCAACTACAACAAAACCAGCTGCCAAAGATAGGGAGGTGAAATTGATGCTTTTTCTTTCTAAACACATGTACAAATAATTTCCAGAACACTGGCTCCTGAGGATCTTCTTTGCCAGAAAGAAATGGGCTGCCCAACACTACCACCTGTCATTTAACAACTTTCCTTGCCTAATCAGGGCTCAGACACGGGACACTCTTTTGGAGAAAGTTATAATTTTCAGAAATGTCTCCTGTGTTCCTTGACATATTGGAAAAGCTCACTGCTTCTTATTCCATTTCTTATTAATATCCTTTCCCCAATCTAATCTCTTCCTGGTTTCTTGACTGACAGCTCCCATCATTCCCAGCCTGTACCCAGAATACAAAGAGTTGTAGGCAAGTAAAGTAGACAGAGAGTATCAGGTTGGGGAGGTTGCTTCAGGCTGGAGGGTCCCAAGGACACATGTTTCCCTGAAAATGGTCCCTGAAGTGTAAATTTTAGTGTGGTGTTGGAAGAAATAATTGAAGAGTAATTATATTAACTGCATTAAATTGCTTTAACATTGATTTAGTTAAATCAAATTAAATGTTTTCTGATTTTCTCATCTTGTTGATACATAATGCCTATATACTAAAAACACAGATACCCTCCCCAGCCAGATCAAGGTTGTGTTTGATGTCACTATACCCCACATGACCAACCAACCAAACAATAAAATGGATTCCACTGTTTGATAGATCTTTCAGTATACATCAGCCATGGTGGCTTTACACCCTACAGCAGAGAATGCCAAGCTACTATGAAGAACTGAATTAAATAACTTGCTTCAACCTAATTATATCTGGATGGAAAATTTTTGCACAATACATATACATACATACATACATACATACATACATACATAACACAATACAGAAGCCTGATGATGGCAGATGAGATTCTGCCGAAACGTTGCTACAACTTTAAAAGCACAACTATAATGACGTGGGAAAATACCCGAACGCAGAAATCTTGCACAACCACCATTAATCATATGAAGTCACGTGTTCAGCAGAAGGCAAGTTAAGTTTTCCCTTCCCATCAACAGAGACTCATAGGGCAACTTGGTTATTAATCTGTGTTTGCACATGTCACTAACATTCATCGTCCTGTCTCTTTTTCATGAACAGCGCTAGACATACTACTGCACATTTCATTATCCATATTTCTCTGTTTTTCAAAAACCATGCTTATGTGTGTCTGCAGTTTTTGTTCATTTTGTTCATACATACTTTTTGTTTCTGTTATGTTATGTAGTCTTATACCAGTGGCTAGAAGCCGACCGCCATGGCAGGAATTCAGATACTACAAAAAGAACATCAGGTAAAAATAAATATTAAAAAAAATGGGGGGTTTGCTAATTTTAACTTACAGGCTTTCCATCTTTTCATTTGTCTTGAATTCCTTTAAATTCTATTCATTGATTGGTTACTCTAATTATTTTAATCAGCAGCTATCATCCTTTTCCTGGGAGTTCTAAGTTAAACTAACAGCCATTTGCTTTTTGTTTCCTTACCAGCCCTAAATACATACACACATTTTGCTCAGGGATTTTTGTACTTCATGCTGTTAAATGGCTTGCTTCATAATGGCCTATGGAAGCCACAATTGGCTGGTTCCCCATATCAGGCCCAACCGTAAACCCAATTTTGCAAATCATAGTGTTTGTGATTTAACACTTCAAGCCAAAAAAACCCATATTTCAGCTGATATGAACCTATCTAATGTTAGAATTATGTGTTGTACTCAGTCACATTTGGGAGTTTTCATCTGGGCTGCTGATTTTTTCAAGGCTGAAAGCTACAAAACAAAACCTCATTTTGCATTGATGACAGTTGTATAGATATCCACCAAGTCCAACATTTACACTTAGTAAAAGGAGGAAGGAGAATATGTGGTGTTATTTATTAAAATATTTAAAGTTTGCTTACCAGATTCCACTTCCAGTCACAATACTAAAAACATAGCATCCTCATCAATTTTTTTAAAGTCCCTACAAAGGGTAATTAGTAGCAACAATCATGATACAAAGTGGAAAAGAAGCTGACCAGATAATGAAATACTCCCTAAAAGGGGCTTTGTTGGGCAGCCATTAGAAACAGTGAATGAGTTCTGAACGCAGGGAATGTTGAGTGAGAATTATGTAAGGGCTTGTCAAGCAGGAAGTTTTTATTTGTGTTGCCAACAAAGACTGGACTTATGGCTGGGCTCCAAGATCTTGGATGCAAAACTCTAGATGCCTTCTAGATCAGGGGTCACCAACCTTTTGGACCTCAGGAACCACCAAAGTCATAATTTTAAATCCCAGGAACCACTAATCGGTTCTGTGGGCGTGGCCTAATTTGTGGGTATGGCTTGGTGGTCATGGACATGGCTTGTATGTAAATATTATAAATATTTATATAAATATTGAATTTTTTTTTATAAAAAAGAGCAACTTTTACCCAAAATCAGGCAAAGCAGACAGGCAGATTGAGTTGCTCACAGAATCACAGATTCATTCAGAGATTTATCTACCTGCCATTGGCTAGCTCAGTCTGTCACATAAAATCTGCTTGCAAGCAAACTCACAAAATTAACTCACAACACACCATGTATGTAAATATTGAATTTTTTATTAAAAAAGAGCAACTTTAACCAAAATCAGGCAAAGCAGGCAGATTGAGTTGCTCACAGAATCATTCAGTGATCTATCTATCTGCCATTGGCTACCCGAGTCTGTCACATAAATTTGCTTGCCATGAGTCTGCACTGAATAATAGAAACTTCAGTCCTAAGGGAGGCACGGCTGTACTTAAAAGCAGAGCCGAAGATCTAATGACTAGCTAGAAAGCAAGAAATCCAACCATTTCCTGCTTCCTAGCTAATCTAAATCTCCCGGCACAGCAGAACAGCTGATGGTCAGAAAAATAACAATTTAGCAGGCAAGTTTGCCAGGCAAGGAGTGAGTAGGTGGGGAGGGTTCCTGCAGGCCATGTGGGCGGTGCAGCCTTGTGTTTCTGCGCAGCCTAGATTAATTGCTTTGGGGGGGGGGGTGTGCTCTGGGGGTGAGATTTCTCTGCAGCCCACCAAAATTTCTCACGGCCCACTGGTTGATGACTGCTGTTCTAGATAGCAGCCAAGAGATATAGTAAATGTTAGCTGTTTGCTTGCTATGTCATCTGTTGTTCAGTGGTGGGATTCAAATTGCTTTACTGCCGGTTCAGTGAGTGTGGCTTGGTGGGCTGCTTCACTCGCGCGCAGAGGGTTTCCTACTGACCTCCTGAAATCCTGCATTCTCCCTGTGTGTTCAACAGCTGACGCGCAGCAATACGTTGTGCCGTGCGAAGCAGCTGAGCTTCAAAACTAGGAAATAAAGGTCGGTATAGAGCCAGGGCAGGCGGGCGGGTCCAGCAGCTGATTGTCCAAGCGAACCGATTCACTCACAGACGATCCTCGAAGGTACCGGTTCAGTCGAACTGGGCCGAACCGGTAGAATACCACCACTACTGTGGTTATCTGAAGTTTTGCACCCCAGATCTGTTGCTAAGTTCAGGCTAAGTAATCAAGTGAAAAGCTTTATGAAGTCATTCAGAAGTGAGGCCTGGAAAACAGGTGTTTGTTCTTATAGCCTTAATAACAAAGAATTCTTAACATCAAAGAACTCAGATTACAGCAGTAGTCCCCAGTCTTTCTGGCTCCAGGGACCAGTTTCGGAAGCAAAATTGTCTTCCAGAGACCGTGAGGGGGAAAATGATTTCGTGCACACAACCTAAATCCTGCGCATACACAGATGAAGCTTTGCTTACTCACCTCCTACTTGCGTGGCCCAGGGGTTGGGGACCCCTGGTTTACAACTTCAACAAGAGTCTATGGAGATTCTCAGTTATCCAGGTCATGGTTGTCCCAAAGGTGCTTTTTCAAGAGGCAACTGGACTTTCTGTTTTTTCTTTGAAGACGTTTCGCTTCTCATCTCAGAAGTTTCTTCAGGTGATGGGAGAGCCTCATCAAGATTTCTGTTTTTAGATTCTTTTGATTCGTTCACTGGATTTCCTCCCCGTAGAGAACTGCTGGGAATAACATCTGTACTTCAGGCTAGTATAACTGGTGATCAGAAATGATTGGCATTGTCGTCCAACAGTATCGTCTAGGGCACAATTTCTCCATCATTGAACCAAGAGATGATAGCAAGTGATCACTTTTCCATAGATAAAAACCCTTGAAAATCTATGTCTATGGAGATTCATAAAAATCCAGGTCATGATTGTCCCTAAGGTGCTTTTTCAAGAGGTAACTGGACTTTCTGTTTTTTCTTTGAAGACGTTTTGCTTCTCATCCAAGAAGTTTCTTCAGCTCCTAACTCTAACCCTTGAAAAGCTATTCATTGCAACTACAGATCCCATAACAAACCATAATTACAAAATAGAATAGAGAAGGAGCGCATTTATTCACACCACCCTTTATGCACGATGGGGAGGAGATTAATTTTTCTTTACTTAGTTTATATAAATTATAGCTTGCTCACAAGAGAGCACCTGGAACCCGAGTTAGATCATGGAATGAGATCCTGGGTTGAGAACAAATGTAATTATACTTTGCTTCTTTTTGGATGGAAAAGCAAAGTATGGGTTACTTCAACCTACAAGATGAAACTTTTAGTGTTTTCTCCTTCTACGTGAAAAGGGAATACTTCTACCTATAGGTCACTGTTGCTCATTCTTGTAACTGCCAATAATGGTACATTGTGCCTAAATGTAGCCTACTATGCTTTTTATACACCCCACCCCCCAGTGTAAGAAATGAAAGGCCAACTCCACTGAGAATAAGCAGATTAATTAAGATTTGTCTGCCATGACATACAAATGAAGTAGTTTTCCTCTGAAAAAAAAACCAAAAAAAAAAACCTCAGGGATATTTTTATACCAGATATGTGGCAGACTGCATTTTCACAAAATTCATGACTAACTTTAATCCTAAATGAGTAGGCTGAGAAGAGCTTTGTATTTTTAATCATCTCTTTCTTTGTGTGGTAGTACTGATGTCAGCCTTACTGATTCAGCTTTTTCAGAACAAACTTTTTAAGTCTTTGTGAGTAACATTGTTTAAACTGTTTAGGATATGACATGTTTAGGAGTATGATTGGACTCTAAGAGACCACACCTAGGGTACTGCATCCAGTTTTGGTCACCACACTATAAAAAAGATGTTGAGACTCTAGAAAAAGTACAGAGAAGAGCAACCAGGATGATTAGGGGACTGGAGACTAAAACATATGAATAACGGTTACAGGAACTGGGCATGGCTAGTCTAGTGAAGAGAAGGACCAGGGGAGACATGATAGCAGTCTTCCAATATTTGAGGGGCTGCCACAGAGCGGAAGGGGTCAAGCTATTTTCTAAAGCGCTTGTAGGCCAGACAAGGAATAATGGATGGAAGCTGAACAAGGAGAGATTTAACCTGGAAATAAGGAGAAACTTTATGACAGTGAGAACAATCAACTAATAGAACAGCTTACCCTCGGAAGTTGTGGGAGCGCCATCACTTGAGACTTTCAAGAAGATATTGGACTCCCATCTATCAGAAATGGTGTAAGGTTGGGCAGTGGGTTTGACTAGATGATCTACAAGGTCCCTCCCAACTCTGATCATCTTTTATCTATTATCTAAGAGGATGAAAGCAGAAGTCTTTGATTTTACCCTTGCTAGTTGCTTGGGGCTATTGGAAAACATTGGTCAGTATTATCATTACCACTTTTAAAGTGTGTTTTCTGAAATGGATTTGTGAAAGCAGCTAAGGCTATAGTTAACCAGGATTCTCATCCATAGAAAATAATAGTAAATGGAAGCTTCAGGCAGACTCTTTGCATCCAGCAGAACTGCTGGGAGCCAATGCTAACTGTGCAATATGTGTAACTAGACAACAGAAAACTGATGAATGTGTGAAGGACTGCTTTTCCTTGTGATGCAACTACCAATAGCCATGAGAAACTAGCCATCTGCAAGAGAATTGGTGGGGGAAAGAGAGGAAAGGATTCCACCTCAATCCTATGATGAGAATGAATGCATGAATCAATGATAAAGGAGCCTGAGCGTGGATTGTGTTGTATAAATTTGACAATCAACTTTTAGGCAATCCTATTCCATAAATGAGCAAAACTGCTGGTGATTATAAAGAAGGCCACTGAATGTTGCTCTAAGCTGCTTGGAAATTAAAATTAAATAAATGCATTGTGTTAGAACTTAAATAAAAGAATTCTTGTACCATTTGATTTAGCATCCAAGTGAGTATAGCAAAAGTGCTGCTACATTTGGCCCCTACTGAATTTGATTTGTCTGGAGAATATCATGAGAGAATTCACAATCTCAAACACCGAGAGAGATATCTGAGAGAGATATCTATTTACCTTCCTGGAAAGGGTGATGAATTAAATTTACTGAGGACACACTAAAATGTTATATGCACTAAAAAAAAAAAAAGAGAAGCACGAATTTGATAAACATGTTTGCAAATACATATTTGCATTACAGATGCATTTAACAGGACATTTAATTTTTTCGGTGTAAAGTCTCCGAAATAACTTAATCACACCGTATGTATCAATTTCTAGGTATTAAATATCAATCCCATGTAATTCCAAGACACTGTGGGCAATTGGGGTTAAAGTTAGGATGAAATTAATATAACAAAGTCCTAAATAAGTGGAAAAGAGAGCCAATTTGGTCTAGTGGTTAAGATCCAGGCCGGAAACCAGGAGACGTGTGGGTTCTAATCCTGCCTTCGGCATGAAAGCCATCGGAGTGCCTTTGGCCAAATCAGACTCTGGCTGGGCTCAGTTAATTCCAACAAATCAATGTTCAGTTGATCTGAAAAAGCGAAGCCTGCCCTGCGGGTGGGGAGGGGGGGAACAGGACATGGAACACTGGGGACGGGGGGGGGGGAAAACCTAAATAATTGGAAAGGGGATTAATCTAGCTGTTGGTTTATTGCCTGCTGTGAAGAGCATCTGAAAAATGAAATTCAGTTGTTGGTTTTCTGTCTGCTACTGAACATCCAGCTGAGAATTTGCAGCCACCAGTAATGATTCATTGCCAATAAGCAGAGAATTCTCAAAGGCAGCGAAGGTCTTAGTGCCTATTCAGATTAATAATGCAATTTTCCTTTCCTCTTCTGCTCCTACAATTTTTACATGTTTGCTGATAACGTGGAACATAGGCAAGATATGCAATCTTTCTATCTCTCTCTCTCTTTTTGCATTTAGAATTGTGTCAGGCTATGCAAACTGTACATCCGTAATTCATGCTGCATTTTCAAACACTGATGTTTAAATTTGTTTAAATTGTTCAGGTTCAAGTTCTGTGATTTCAGTAAGATTGCATTATTTTGTAAATACATCTTTCTACATATAAACTACAATGCCAGACTATCTGTCTGTCTGTCTATCTATATCTATCTATCTATCTATCTATCTATCTATCTATCTATCTATCTATCTATCTATCTATCTATCATCTATCTATCTATCTATCTATCTATCTATTATGGCTGAAGAATTCTGGGAGTTGAAGTCCACAAGTCTTAAAAGTTGCCAAGTTTGGGGACCTCTGATCTAGACAGTCATTCCAGGCAGCATAAAACTGATTTAGAATCTACGCTGGGGACAAGTATTGGACTCTCAGACTTTGCACTGAAACTCTAATTTGGCTCAGCCCCACTGCTTGTTTTTAACTATCCAAACTGTGTCATTTAGAGTTACTCTCCACACTAGGACTATAATTATGAAGCATATTTTACCTATTAGGTTATTAACTACAGGTGGTCCTTGACTTGCAACCATTTGTTTAGTGATCATTTAGATCACTAAAATTTAGAAATTGAAAAAAGTGACTTGCAACCCGTCATCACACTTATGACTTTTGAAGTATCCCCGTGGTTAAGGCGAAGAGCCGTGGTGGCCCAGTGTTTAGAATGCAGTACTGCAGGCTACTTCTGCTGACTGCTGTCTGCCTGCAATTTGGCAGTTCGTATCTCCCCAGGCTCAAGTTTGACTCAGCCTTCCATCCTTCTGAGATTGGTGAAATGAGGATCCAGATTGTTGGGGGCAAAATGCTGACTCTGTAGACCATTTAGAGAGGGCTGGAAAGCACTGTGAAGTGGTATATAAGTCTAAATGGTATTGCTATCAAAATTTAGGCACCTGGCAACGGACATGTATTTATGATGGCTGCAATGTCCCCGGGTCTTGTGGTTGCCATTTGTGGCCTTCCCAACTGGCTTCCAATAAGCAAAGTCAATGGGGTAGACCAGATTCATTTAACAACTGTGTGATTCACTTGACAAGCGCAATGATTTGCTTAACCATGGCAAAAAGGTTGTAAAATTGGGTGCGACTCACTTAAAACCGTCTTCCTTAGCAATGGAAAGTTTGGTCCCAACTGGGATCATAAGTTGAAGATCACCTGTAGTTATGATATCAGTTTTTTTTAAATGCCTGATGCTTTCAATATCATTTTTAAAACAATATTAAAAATATGAAATAATATTTAAAATACTATATTGATAATATTTATCATTTAAAAATATATCTCCTTAAACTTGCATTAAGAAGTATCACTGCATGGAGTGGGATGAACATGGTATGGCTCAGTTTAATGATGGATTATTCCTTTTCCCAAAAATTTCAGGTAGTTTTTTTTTTTTTAAATAGACATAACAATATTTTCTCTTTTTTCCTGTGGTCTTCGTTCTTTTTAACCAGGGGTTGAACAAACTTGAAGCTTTCTTAGAAAATAATTCATTGACGTGATGATTGTTGTTTCTTAATCTATTGCAGGAGAAAATTTTGACCAGAGTCCCTTGAGAAGAACTTTCAAGTCGAAAGTCTTGGCTCACTATCCCCAAAACATAGAATGGAACCCCTTTGATCAAGATGCCGTCAACATGGTACGTAGAGAAACGTCTTCTAAAGGAGTTTCACATTCTAGTCTTCAGCTACTGCTCTTCTTACATGTTTCAGTTCACCTGTATTTCCATTTCAGTCCTTAATTGAATAGGGGAATTTTGATTAAGTGAGGAGGATTAACCCAAATTTCTCTATTCATACATACATTTATGCCCAAAGATTGGGCTGTAATCAAATGTGTGAAATCAATAATGGATTCACACTTCACTGTAAGTTACAGTATTTGTTCAAGTTAGCCTGACCATGGTTTATAGGTCAGCATTGAGTCGCCATGGGCGAATAGGCAGCAATATAAATCCAATGAATGAATGAATGAATGAATGAATGAATGGCTGTGAGGTCACCCTGTTGAGGCTTATCTAACTAACTGTCAAAGCTGTGAAATATCACAATATATGAATTCAGCCCCTGTGTCATCTTCAGCCTGAGGAGGAGTTAGAACCATGGTTCTCCACCTTTTCTTCACCACGGACCCTCCCTTAAATACCTTTTGTGGTCACGGACTATGGCCACAGAAGCCCAAGATTTAACTCAAGATTTAAATCATAATACTTGTCCAAGTCTTCATGGATCCCCTGGTAATGACATTGCAGCCCCACACAGACCTCTAGTTGAGAACCATAGACTTAGAAAATATTTTCATGCAGCTAAGTAAAGCTAAAGTTAAAGTATTTTCTAAGCCCTCCCTCCTCAAACCTTTATTTCCTATGCTTTCTAAATTCCAGTCTTTTCCTTCAATAGGTCGGTATTTTTACATTTGTCTTAGGCTGAATACTTACAGCAATTCTACCACTGTGTAGTAGAAAGTTTGGAACGTATCATGCTTCTCAATGATACAACAATAAATGAAATATCCCTATGCTTCTCACTCATAATAAAAGCTCTTTATTCCTTATAGTATAGCTTGCCACAGTATCTGATTACTGTATGCAGTCAAAGAATTGTGAATTCTTTAATAAGCTACAGGTATCCCTCACAACCATGATTGAGCCTATAAGTTTGATTATAAAGTCACAATGGTCATAAACCGTGTCACCACATGATTGTGCCTGATTTTATGACCTTTTTTGTGTCATTAAGTTAATATATTGATATAAAACAAATGCTGCTATCAGGCTCAAAAGACCAGTCCACAGATGAAGGTCCAGTTAAACTGATGTATTGCTACTCATAACCTATGCACAGGAATCTTCTCGACTAACAGAACCTGCTTGGGATTAGATAAGGCAGAATGGAATTCAAGGAAGGTTGGATTTAGCTCACTTGTGGCTACGTAGAGATTCTAGGCTGATCCCTCTTTAAACTCTGCCATTAGATTCTACCATCCCTTTCCCTACGTGTTCAGTTGTTAAATGAGCTCATTGTTTGCTATGGAGTATTTTTTGCTGGAAACCAGAAGTAAACAATGGTTTCTGGCAAAAATGTTGCAAATCACAGTCACATGTCTTTGGGATACTGCAACTACCCATAAATGCTAGTTGGTGTCCAAGCATCCAAATACTTTAAGTACGGATCGTAAGTAGCTTTTTCAGGGTCCATCATAACTTCGAGTGGTCACTATGTGACCAGTCATATGTTGAGGACTGGCTGTATATACATTCATGAGGAGTAACCTAATGTCCACCAAGGCATCATCAAGACTTCTGAAACCTTCATGTTCTTAACTTTTAAAGAGATAATGACGATTTGCTAAATACCAGAATTCTTTTTTCTCTCCCTGTACTCAAGCTTTGTAATATTGTAACATGAAGGGTTGAGTGATGGAAACAAAAGTCTTGTGGAACATGAAGAGTTTTCTCTTAATATTAAGCGCTGAGAAATGTTGCTCATTTCTTTCAGAATTAATATTGTTCTTACCTTGTATTTTTGTCTGCTTTTTATATTAGCGAGTGATTATTATTATTTTTTGCGGGAAAATGCTCAAATATTTTTAGGTTACGGTAATCTAGAAAAGCCTTCTGCTTTTACTCTATGCTAATTGAACTGCAGATGGCAAAACATGAATAGAACGTTGTTTAATGGAAGCTAGCTAATGGAAAGGGAGCAGTTTCATTTTAATAACTGCAAAACTCTTGTTTTTCTACAGACTTTTCACAGTTGTGCCACACATGTTTAAACTGCTCTTTTTGCATATGGTGATGGCTGTTTCTTGATCTTTGATTGGGCAAAGTGCTTCAGGGAATCCCTGCTGCATTATGGGGAATTGTTAGGGAGTAAGATTGGTAGTTCTATGAGCACTTGAGCAGGATACTTTCAAATTAGGTTTTGTTCAATGGTTTAAAACATTCATATACACCCAGGTGTATTCTTCAAGTTACACAGAGAATTAGTTCTGAAACCATTAGCTTGGAAACTGGCTGGTTCCCACACATTATAGTCTAATTAAGAGCAGAGAGGTTATCGAAGTGTCTGTGTGCTGCATCCTTGGTCTACCCTTCTCAACTTTTGCTAATTGATAAGAGTCTATCCTTCAGTTGGTAGCAAAAGTGTCATCTCTCCCAATTGATCAACACTTTAGATCTGTACAAACTGGGTTTTCATTTGAGTGGTCTCGTATGTTGTCAAGAAGCTCCAAGCAATTGAATAATTAGAGTGGAAAAGGAGCTTCAGATCTCTCATAGTGGCTTCCTATTTGATGAAACCAACCCATTTGCTGTTGAGGGAAAAAATGGCAATGACGTATTATACAATGTTCAGAATTTCTGTTGTTACCCTCCAATTCTGCCACTCCTTCCAGCAGCCTTGAGCATGATCCAATCTGGGTCGGTCACTGGGACCGGAAGTTTGGTCTTCCGAGCTTTCGGACTTGTGCTGGAACCCATCCTCAGGGAACTTCTCTCTCACCAGAATTCTGTCTCACATTTTGGTGAGAGTTTCGTTCCCTGAGGATGGGCTCCAGCACAAGTCTGAAAGTTCAGAAGATTAAACCTCTGGTCCCGGTGACTGAATCAGATTGGATCCTACAACATTATCCTGGGACACGTATATTTGCCTTCCTTTGTGAGCATTGAGCAGGCTCGTTTCTTTTTCTCAATTGGGAATTTGTTGGGTTTCCCATTGAGGTTATTTTGAGAATGTTCCAGACTTGCTGATAATTCCTCTTATCACTGGTGCCATTTTGGCTACTAATGCTGAGCATTCAGTGGGTCAGTGTATGCATGTATGCATGTCAAACATACGCCAGTGGACAACACAATTTTTTTAAAAGCTTCATGAGACTTCCAGAGGTTTGGCAGCTTTGGCACTTGAAGTGTTGCTGTATTGAAACTCATGTTAACAAAATTCATGAAAATCTCCTTTTATACACTTTAACAAGTACATCAGAAATACTGTAGTGAACTCATGCTTCACTTTCCTCATCTTTTCCTCTTTTTTCATGAAATATTTCCAGAAGATTGTTTCCAAGAGAGTTTTATACAGATTAGTGCATTTGTATAACGATGAATTGGATTCCCTTTAGATATGGTGTTTAGACACACATTTTTAATTGACATACAAAATATTTGCTACTATATATGACTATGCCTATACTTTTAGCCTTAATACTGGGTTATATAATTGACATGCATGTAATATTCACATCCTTTTCAATTTTATATAATGCCCATTACTTGCTAAGGAAATAGGCTTTTTGTTAACTGCTTTCTTGAGAAATCTGTAGCTAATTCACAAGGTTATAAATTAATTTTAAGAACTATGGCAAATTTCATTGCTACACAATTATGCAAAAATCAGTGGAGCTTGAGACTGGGAATTGTGACTTTAAGAATGTTGTGTTTAACTAAATGGTAAGAAAGTGGGGACTTTTTTTCAGCCTTAGTTTCTTGTCAATAAGCTTTATTTGCTTTATCAAATAAGTACTATGTACAACACAGAGTAGGTTAAGACCCAGGCCTTGTCAACTGAAAAGTTGGCAGTTTGAGACCCAAGTACTGCATAATGGGGTGAGCTCCTGTTTCTGGCCCAGCTCTTGCCAACCTAGCAGTTCAAAAGCATGCAAGTGTGAGTAGATAAATAGGTACCACTGTGCTGGGAACATAACAGCGTTCCATGCACCTCAGTGTATAGTCATGTCAGCCACATGACCCTGGAAGCTTCTTCAGACAACGCTGGCTCACTCAGCTAGGAAATGGAGATGAGCACACACCCTAAAGATGGACACAACTGGGCAGGGAAAACCTTAACCTTTATAGATTTTTCAGTATAGGAATGGCCATAATAGACATTACGATGCAGCTGACAGGTGTATTTTCCTTGTCTCTTCTCACAGCTATGTATGCCCAAAGGGCTGTCCTTCAGGACTCAGTCAGACCTCAGAGATCCCCAGTTCCATTCGTTCATCATTACTCGGGAAGATGGGTCCCGCACTTACGGATTTGTACTCACGTTTTTTGAGGAGGTCACGAGCAAGCAGATCTGCGCAGCCATGCAAACGCTTTATCAGATGCACAACGCGGAGCAATGCAACAGCGTCTGTGCCTCGTCGTCATGCAGCATGGACTCTCTGGCCAGCAGCCTGGATGAAGGAGACTCCACGTCCCTGGCCAAAATGCAGCGCTGCAACTCGTACGACATCAACAGGGACACACTGTATGTTTCCAAGTGTATATGTGTCATTGCTCCCCTGCCTTTCATGCAAGCCTGCAAGAAATTCCTCATCCAGCTTTACAAAGCAGTCACTTGTCAGCAACCCCCACCTTTGCCTCTGGAAAGCTACATACATAACATTCTTTATGAAGTACCCCTTCCGCCCCCAGGAAGGTCCCTCAAATTCTATGGGGTTTATGAGCCTATTGTCTGCCAGAGACCAGGCCCCAATGAACTCCCCCTCTATGACTATGCTCTCCGGGAAGCCTTTGAGCTGCTGGGCTTGGAGAATCTTATTCAGGTGTTTACATGCGTCCTCCTAGAAATGCAGATTCTTCTTTATTCTCAAGGTAAGTGGACTTCTCCTAACCTGACTGTGATTTTGAGTTTTTTTCTTGTCTTCCAAAATACTGATGCCACCAAATGTAACATTGCGACGATATGGCTTTTATAGCACCACAATAAAGGGTGTTTTCATAAAAAGGAAAAGGTATTCTGATGTTTTGTTGGATGGAGGAGGATGGGTCTATGGTTTCTAAACGCTATCTCCTGTCTAGCAAACAAACAAATTTAATCAAGAAATAAATACTAAGGACCAGTGATAAATTTTGTCTCCCTTTTCTATGTATATAGATCTTTCCATAGCACACTGGATAACCTGGCATCGTTTGCCTCCAAAATAGCACTAGCACTTAAGAGTTATATACCACTTTATAATCCTTTACAGCCTTCTCTAAGCTGTTTACAGAGCCAGCATATTGCCCCCAACAATCTGGCTTCTCATTTTACCGACCTTGAAAGGATGGAAGGCTGAGTCAACCTTGAACCAGTCAGGATCAAACTCCAGACTGCCCACAGTACTGCATTCTAACCACTGCACCATCAGGATTCCTTATATAGTGCCATATAAGAAGTCAGTTAGTCAGTCAGTCAGACAGACAAGAAATCTATCAACCGAATGATGTGGATAAAGGGAGGGAAAGTTTGAACTGCCTACCATATGCCAACCACAGAGGTTTTTGGGCTAAGAAGGGATGTATTAATAAGATTTATTAATAATGGGTCACTCCTTACTGCAAAAATTACAACCACACCTTCCCCCTGTGCAAGATTGCAAAAAATAAATCAACTGACAGATTCTTTGAAAGTTTACAGTATTACCTGCAGGCAGAAGCTAAAGACAGGACATTGACACCGAAAGCAGTAACCATCTTCCAAGAAAGCTATAATTGTCTGGAAGTTAGGAAAATGCTTATTAATTGATAAAATCAAAGATTTATGCTTCAATATTTTTCTGGTTTTAAATAGCTTTGTGGAGACACCATACATATTTTGAAAGCAATTATCCCTGAGCGTGATTAGCTTCTTTAAAATAATTTTCCACATGGAAGTTTTCTTATGCCAACAAAGAATGTAATAAAATTTGTTGGATGGAGAAAGAATAGATATTTCAGTAGTTTAGGAATAGTACTGTTTTGAGACTGATAACACAGGTTTCTAGAGAGACGTAATAAAATATGATTGCCACAAGATTGAGGTCGGAGGATAAATTAAATTGTTAGTTCTGTATTAATAGAATGTGAGCTAGTCTACAAATAATCCAAAGAAGGAAATAGAATTTTCTAACCTTTTACTTTAAGTCTGTCAGCCCTCCAGCTAAACCAGATAGGAAACAGTACCAGATGGGCTAATGCTACTTTATTGTAAAGCTACAGGAACAAAATCTTGAAAGTCTGAAAATACAAATCTGCCTTTTAACAGCCTGATTTGTTAGGGAAAGTTCTTGCTAACTCTCTTCTTCTGACCCTTATGTCACTGGGGGTTCCTCCCTCTCTTGTCTGAGGGTTCCCTAAGCAGCATCTCTTCCTGCACCCCTCAAAATCATTCCCAGATAACATTACAAATCCTTCTCTGTCCAAGAGCATTTAATAACCCCCCCAAGAACATTTTAATGATAGTATATATCAGGGGTCCCCAACCTCGGCAACTTTAAGACTTGTGGACTTCAACTCCCAGAATTCCTCAGCCAGCATAGCTGAGGTCTCTGAGAGCGAGGACTCGGATGAGGGGCCTGCGTGTGATGCAGGGATGGGGCCAGGACTGTCCAGAGAGTGGGTGCTTCGGAGCTTGTGGAGTCTGGCAGCAGTGATGCAGAGGAGCCCAAGGAGCCTGTGCCCAGTGCGTGTGCGCACAGGGCTGTTCAAAGGAAACAGCAGCTGCAGCAGCAAGGACGACTCGGGAGTAAGGTTGCAAGGCAATGGCCCCTCTCTTAAGGGATAAAAGCCAGCCCTCAGAGGTGGGATCCTTTGCAGGAAGCAAAGAAGTTCTTGCACTTCAAGTCCTCGTGGAAGTTCGGTCTATCCTAGTTTGTTTTCGGAGACTTTTAGCTTTGAATATTTCCTTGCACTTAATCTTGTGTTCTTGGCAGCCTTGCACAACCTTGACAGGGCTTGCTCTTATCTGAGACAATTAGTTTTAATAGCGCTTTGCTGTGAATGAACAGAATTTACAGAGACGCATTAAAAAGATTTTTACTTTTATCTATGTTTTGTGTTTGTTTGATTTGAACAAGGCTTGGGTCAGAACATAAAGTTGCCAAGTTTGGAGACTTCTGGTATATACCATTCCTCAGCAGAGCTTCCAAAGCAGTTTACCAAAACACAGTAATATATCTATGAAATATGATAAAATTGCCAGAAGGTTTTTCCCCTTCCTTCTAAATACAGGTAGTCCTTCACTTGAAACAGTTCATTTAGTGACCGTTACAACAGCACTGAAAAATGATTTATGACCACATTTTACACTTACTTTTTACACTGTGGCCACCCCATGGCCATGTGGTCAAAATTCAGATGCTAGGAGGCAACTGGCTCATATTTATGACGATTGTAGTATCCCGGGATCATGTGATCACCCCTTGCAGCCTTCTGTCAAGCAAAGTCAATGGGGGAGCCAGATTCGTTTAACAACCAAGTGGCAAGAAAGGTTGTAAAATGGGACAAAACTCACTTATGAAATGTGTCACCTAGCAACAGAAATTTGGGGCTCAATTGTCGTAAGTCGAGGACTACCTGCATATTAAACATTGTCCGATAACAGCAGCAACAACAATAGCAACAAAAAAACAAAATATTGCTTTTGGCCTGATAGTTTTCTCTTCCAAGAGCATTCTGAAATTTTCTGGAGTTCCTGTCCTGATGGAAATGAAACTCCTGGCCGCTTCAGAAGCCAGTGCTCTGCTTTGAAGAACTGAGGTTCTCCAAAACCAGCAAATTGGATTTTTGCCCCAAATCATAGCAGGGGACTGGGGAAGTCTATGGGCATCTCTATTTTTCAACAAATGGTGTCTGATAGCAAGTATGGCATCTTCCTTCTCTTCTTCTTCCTCCTCCTCCTCCTCTTCCTCTTCCTCCTCCTTCTCCTCTTTAATACAGTAGGGGTGCCCTCTATATTTGAAGCTCCTAGAAACCCTAGCCCACAAACCAGGGGTATCAAACCTGCTCACATCGCGGGCCGTATCGTGATATATCACGATGTTTTCTGCCTTTGCGGAGCTGGGGTGGACGTGGCCTGCATGGGCTATATCCAGCCCACGGGTTGCCAGTTTGATAGGCCTGCCATAATAGGCCAGTCTTTCTCAATCTTGGCAACTTTTAAGATATGTAGACTTCAGCTCTCAGAATTCCCCAGCCAGCCATGAGTTAAAGTCCATATATCTTAAAGTTGCTGAGAAACACTGCCATAGGCTACGCCCGCTGAGAATTCTGAGATGCGTACAGCTGAGAAGGTTGATTTAGGATACTGTACTTGGTGGAGTGTATGTTTGGTGACTGATTGATAGGCTCATTGAAGCTGGAGTGGAAATCCATTATATTTAATGGAGAACCGTGGGAGACATGCATTTTTAGACTAGCTCAGACCGCGAGCAAGAAAGAAGGAATGACACTCCAGTGTATTGTCAATGAGAACATTACAAACTTTGGTTTCATTATTAATGTGCCTCAGGTGGCTGAGGAAATCAAAAGAGCGTTCTTGTTTTTTGCAAAAGTTTATTTTGTCTGGCTTTTACTGTTCTTGGGAAGGATTAATTAGGTTGGAATTAAAGAAAACTGTGTATTTCCAGGGGCCTCTTTCCTTGTCATTCAAATTTAAATTCCTGCATGAACGCTCATCAAACTTTTTTTTTTTAATGCTGGAAGCTTGGTAATGAACTCTGATGTACATCAGGCATAAACATGGGTAGCATATTTGAGAAATAAAGTAGTTTTATTCCTCATTAATGTTTCCCCAGCAGAGAGATAATGGGAAGTCATATAACTGGTGATGTGTGATATTTACAGTACATGTGTCTCAAATTGAACTGACCTATATTTTCTGAGGTCATAGTTTAGAGCAGGGCTGTCAAACTCGTGTCCTGTGGGCCAGATGTGTCATGCGCTGGCCACACCCACACCCAGTGTAGTGAAGGGAGGGAAAAGTCCAGATACATCACGTGATGCCGCCGTGACGATGCGAGTTTGACACCCCTGGTTTAGAGGCACCCCTCAAAATCAGTTGTTGAAATAGTATTTAAATTATCTCTTTCTCAAGCATCCATTTTGAATGTTTTTGTTAAGTATTCCACTAGTTTTATTTGGAACTAGACACATAGACAAAGGCCTGGTGCTTAACTTCTTTTTGTTTGTCTTGTTTAACACATCTGTATTTTATTCATGGGTTGTACTTGAGCTTAAACTCTGAGAATTGTGTATTCATTAATCAAAAAATACATTACTGTTGTGACTATTTAAGTTTCAGAAAGCAGTGCTGTTAATACCGGTGACAGCTGCTAGTTCTTTGCATTTTGATTTGCCATAATCAGTTGGAATAAAATGCTGTCAAAATACTTGTGAAGAGAGTACTTTATGGAAATGGGTTTAAAATACCTCCTAAGGATTAACCTCTGTAATTAATTCTCATTCTGTCTTAAAGTGAATTTGCATGCTGTCTAAACATTTCATAGCTTGCTTTGAATGGCAGTTCTAGAGTTAATAATTTAACCCACTTTAAACAGGTTAGTAGGAGGTTAACATACTACACATTAAATCAAGTCAATAAATGCCTATTACAATGTGTATCCTGTGAATTTAAAAATTGCTTTGCAGTTGCCATCTGCTGGGCATTGAAATGCACATGAGATTTTGAAAGTAATGGTATTTTAGAGACAATTCTGTTTTGGGTTTCTTTGTTTAGACTATCAGCGTCTGATGACCGTTGCCGAAGGGATCACCACTCTGCTATTCCCATTCCAGTGGCAACACGTGTATGTCCCCATCCTCCCAGCCTCACTCTTACATTTCCTGGATGCTCCCGTACCTTACTTGATGGGCCTCCAATCCAAAGAGGGAACAGATCGTTCTAAGCTGGAACTTCCTCAAGAGGTAAACATTGCTTACAGCCCTTCATGGCTTAGGACCGGGTTATCTGAGGGGACTGTCTCTTGCTGGTTATATCCGCTAGAGAGGCAAGGCAAGGAATGTTGTAGGTCCCGTCTCCTAAGGTGGTACAACTGATGGGATGTTCTCTGCGGTGGCTCCTTTCGTTTGGGTTATCATCCCCGCAGAGATTAGACTAGCCCCCACTTTGACACAATTCTGTAAGGCCCTGAAGACTTGGTTCTGTCAATGGACCTGGGAAACTTAGAGTGAGATGGAGCTGGTAAAATGCTTCATTTCACCCCTGTCAAGGGGTGAGGGGTTATTAGTTTTTTTTTTAATATATGCTGAGTTTTTACTGTTAGTAACCCACCCAGAGTCCCTGAGACTGAGTGGATGGCAAATAAATCTTCCAAATAAATAAATTAACAGCAGCATTTCCAGTGCAAAGTTATGGTTCCCTGGGTGAAGACTTTGTTGGGCATTCTGATTGTTTACACTGATGTGAGTGGAAATTCAAATATATCTTGTGAATGCAGATCAGGGAAGTGTCAACAATTAGATTCAGGCACTGTAATTAAAATATCTCCCCACTTCACATTCCCAGGCAGACACACAAGAAGATAGGTAAGAAAATTTACTGCTGAGAAATAAGAGGCCATAGGTACAAAGATATCTTAACAGTACTTGGTGGCCTTGTCCTTTATGTATTGTTAATCTTTAGGTTTAAAATCCTGGGCCTCTTTGGCTTCTGTTTTCTGAGCCTTGAAGTTTTCTGCCATCTGTCTGCTTATAAAATGATATTCTGGCATAAAAATCAGAGCTTCCCACTTCATCGGCTTCAATTCTTACAACAGGTCAATTCTTATGCGGGTGTACTTTGGAAGGTGCAAGAAAATGAACGGAGCATGTTAAAGCAGGTTTGACATTTCCTAGGATTACAAGGTTCACCAAAGAAAGCAGTTGCTTGGTCTTCTAAAAAGATGCATCCATTTTAAGGTGTTGGAAAAAGGTGCTGTATTATACAGATGAAACTCAACACACTACGCAGCCACAGTAAATAATTTATACTACAAGGAACTTGCTCCTCTTTGAGGGTTGGGAGGAAATGATAAAAAGACTTGCTGTATGTTTAGATAAAGGTTTTAATGAAATCTGCATGCGTTTAGCATAGTTTACCATTTATTCTCCCCTTCATTTTTTTTCACCATCTGCCAAGCTGAAAAAGAGGTCAGAGATGCTTGCTTTTGATTAGTTTTTTTTAAAAAAACCAACATATGCAAATTCTGGATTATTTTCCTCCTCCTATGATTTTCTTCTTGATCTTCAATTTTCAATTTGTCTGGAAGAGAGACAGTCCAAGGTTATTGGTTTGCAAATCACAATAAACAAATCATGGAATGTACTTCTGTGGTTTGCACCATCAGCCAAATTAAGTTTTAGAAACAGTTGTGTCTGTTTGTAAATAAAGGGCTATAGAAAACAAATGTTTGGTTGTAGTACTTGCTCTGAACAGTGGCAGTTGGGTTAAAGATTATAGCCTCTGTCTTAAGGAATTATTTGGACTTTAATTTGCAAATCCTTGCAGTTATGGATTTTTTTGCAGGATCCAATCTGAGTCAGTCATTGGGACCACAGTTTTAGTGGATGGAAACTTTGATCAGGGGAAACTAATCAGGGAGAGAAGCAGCTTAGAGCTAAGGAGAAATTTCCTGACAGTTAATCAGTGGAACAACTTGCCTCCAGAAGTTGTGAATGGTCCAACACTAGAAGGTTTAAGAAGAGATTGGATAACCATTTGTCTGAAGTAGTGTAGGGTTTCCTGCCTAAGCAGGGGATTGGACTAGAAGACCTCCAAGGTCCCTTCCAACTCTGTTATTCTATTCCTATTCCTATCCTATCCTATTTTCTATTCTTGCAAGCTTTTGGACTTGTGCTGGAGCCTATTCTCAGTAACTTCTTTCTCTCCAGACTATTCTGGTCCTTTTGATCAACTCATATTCGATCCTGCACCATTATCCTGGGGACATGTATATTTGCTTCCATTAATTTTTGTTGAAGCCGTTTTTGCATCTACTGAGATTGCATCTTCACAGATTAATATATATGAGACACATCAGGTTAGGAAAATGCAACCAGCATCACAAATAAGGGGAAGAAACTGAAGACTAAATTTAATAATGGGCTTTTTAAAGCAGCTTTCCAGTTTTTAATGTAGGAATGCCAGGAAGCATTCGTTAAATTCTACCTTCTTTTTCTTGTTAAGACCAGATGCTACTTCAGGGGCTAAATATAAAACCACTTGTGCATTCTGGATAAAATTCTAACAGCTGGTCATAAGACATTCTTCAGGGTGCTACTTAGCCATCATCTTGTCATGGGATGCTTTTAGAAAAGATGATCTCTTCAGATTTTCCTCTTGGTTCAAATCTCATTCTGCGCTTTTGGAATATTAAGTAGGGTTTAAGAAGCCTTTTAAATGAACTCTTGATAGATGGTAGTCTATTTGATCCGAAAGAGGAGAAAGAGTTATAGTACTGCAGACAATTTTACTAGTGAATTTGAAAATGCCTTTCTCTGTCCAAAATAATAAATATGTTAATCCTAGAGAAATGAATTCTACATATAGCCTATCAAAAAATAACTTTGGAGTCTTTCGCTGTTTAATGGGGTGTTTTAAAAGTATTTTTCAACATTTGAACATCGTGATTAATGAAATGTTGGCCTTTAGTTCAAGCTATAATCCTTTCCACTCTTCTTAGAAGCATGTTCTCAAAAGTGGAGTTCTTTAACATAACAATGAAACATCCATTCAAAGGCTAAAAAGAATGAGTTGTCATTGCCTTTATAAATATGTAGGTCTGATGCTATCCTTTTTCAAGAATGCTTCAGATTTAATTTCATTGGCTTTTGGGAGAAATAAACTTGCTTCGATTCACTTAAAAGAGGCAAATCTTGTAGTAAGTCACAGTGAGTTCAATCTAAAAAGAAGAATTAGTCTTTTCCATAGCATCCCTCTGTATCTGGGCTTTTACTAGTTTTATCAAAGTCCTTAATATAGTTCACTCTTCAGTCCCCAACAGAGATTTACGCTTCAGAGAATATATCATGGTGACAGTTGGTTTTATTGTCAAGCAAGAGTTTAGGCAGGAAATTTTATTTCCTTTCTACTGTACTTACAAACTGTACTTTTAAACATAACCAAAGGTTATTGGGCTAAATTGATCTTGTAAACAGAATAGCCTAGCATTGGTTCCAATCAATTTGAAAAAGCATGAAAATATTTAATTTTTCATGTCCCCCAAGGATTTTCTAATAAACATTTTCCTTCCTATATTTCAAGTATTTTTGCTAATTTGGGGTCAAGGCAGAATGTTTCCTTCTGGTTTATTTAATAATGAAAACTGCTTGTCCCATGGCACTTGTGGGTTATTCAGGGTCACATGTCAACTAGAAACTTTGGCTTGCTCTTGGCTTGTTTAGAGAAGAACAAGCCAGAGCTCCCAATTAGTTGTACAGCTTAAATTAATCATAGTGATAAACAGCTTTATTTAGCTGCTTCAGGCATAATAACTGACATGCTACTTATCCTTAAAAAGCTAACATTACAATACTGGATTTACAATACTGGATAACTGATATCTTCAGAGCCATACAATAATGTCTGCACTTCGCATACAAACACTGAAAGGTGTTCCTTTTGTTCCTTTTTGTGTTTTTGTAATGATCCCCAAGGGCCTAACGTAAACGTATATTGAATATTGAATTTACTAATAGTATTTGCTTATCTGAACAAGAAGATTTCATTCTAAATCCTTATATCTACATATTCTATTCTCAGTGTAAACCTATAAGAAATAAACCTCCTCTGTTGTCAAAATGATTTATTTTCTCTTTTCCAGGCCAACCTGTGTTTTGTGGATATTGATAATCACTTCATTGAGCTACCAGAAGAGCTTCCTCAGTTCCCCAATAAGCCGAATTTCATCCAAGAAATCTCAGAGGTTCTCCTTCAGTTTGGGGTTCCCCTCGAAGGTCGTCATCATTGTAGTGAGAGTGCGGCCAAGTTAAAAAACCTTGTCCTTAACGACTTGGCCAATGACAAAAAGAACGGAAACGTGCCCAGCAACACCATCAACGTCTATGAGCTGCTCAAAGGCAACGAGACAATCGCCCGCCTCCACGCTTTGGCAAAGAGGACAGGAGTGGCAGTAGACAAAATGGCTATTACTGCTTCTTTGGCAGAAAAAGAAACGGATGTTAAACGCCACTGTGATGAACAAGAACTGAAGGACTACAAGCTGAATGTCCAACTCCGGGAGGTCTTCGCCAACCGCTTCATGCAGATGTTTTCTGATTATGAGGCCTTTGTCATTCAAGCGGCACAGGACAGGGAATCCTGGCTGACCAACAGGGAACAGATGCAGAATTTTGACAAAGTAAAAGAAGCCAAACTCTTTTTCTTCTAAGTCAGAGGTGGGGAAAGATGGCCCCTTTATCACTTGAGGACTTCAACTCCCAGAATTCCTGAGCCAGCATCACTGGCTCAGGAATTCTGGGAGTTGAAATCCACAAGTCATAAAAGGGCCATTTATCCCACCCCTGCTCTAAGCTAATTTCAACCCTTATTTTTGGGATAGTCAAAGCTCACTGTTAGCTCATATATTGCTATATTCAACCTTCCTTGAATTAAAAAGGATTCTAAGTAAGTCTATGGAGATTCTCAGTCATCCAGGTCATGGTTGTCCCAAAGGTGCTTTTTCAAGAGGCAACTGACTTTCTGTTTTTTCTTTGAAGGTGTTTTGCTTTCATCCAAGAAGCTTCTTCAGCTCTGAAGAAGCTGAAGAAACTTCTTGGATGAGAAGCAAAATGTCTTTAAAGAAAAAAACAGAAAGTCCAGTTGCTTCTTGGAAAAGCTTCTTTGGGACAATTTGAAGTAAGGTTGACCCAGACCTTTGCCTTAAGTTTTTTATTAGAGGCATACTACAGGTAGTCCTCAACTTACAACCATTTGTTTAACATCCATTCAAAGTTACAATGGCACTGAAAAAAGTGACTTTGACGGGTACTTGCACATACAACTGTTTCAGCATCCCCACAGTCATGCAATTAAAGTTTGGGTGCTTGGCAATTAAGATGTATTTATGACAGTTACAGTGTCCTGGCTTCTTGTGAACATCATTTATGACCTTCCCAAGTCAGTTTGTGACAAGCGAAGTCAACGGGGATTTGCTCAATGACCACATGATTCACACAACAACTGCAATGATACTCTTAACTATGGCAAAAAAGTTGTAAAATTAGGTGTGACCAACTTTAACAACTGCCTTGCTTGGAAATTCTGCTCCTAAATGGAAATTCCTAAATGGAAATTCTGCTCCTAAATCAGGGGTGGGATGCTACCGGTTCTGCCCAGTTCTACAGAACCGGTAGCTCTGAAGAGCAGCAGACAAGGAACCGGTTCTGTGTCTGCTGCTGTTTGGCCCACTCGCCCACTGGGCTCTTACCTGTCCTTTATTTCCTGCTTTTTCAACCTTAGCTGCTTTGTGCAGGACAGCTGAGGATGAAAAAGCAGGAAAAAAGAGACTTTTCAAACGCTGCGCACCTGACGTAATCTGAAAACGTAGTCACCGAACTGGTACTAACACTGGTTGAATCTCACCCCTGTCCTAAATATTGAGGACTACCTTGTTGTTGGATACATCAACAGATCATCCAAATAATGTGACTTTGTCTAAGATAATTTCATGTGCACAGTTGGTTTGCAAAATGGGCGAGAGGAACTAGATTGGAGAAGAAATTCGGTCACATTTCTCTAAACTAAAGTTGATATTCTTGATTTTTGAAATCCCCCTTTTGAAATTCAGCATTAACACAAGCCTGTTGTTCCTTGTTCTCCCCTCCCCCTCTTTTTTAATTAAATATTCCTATTCATGGGTGAAAAGGCCCATAGGATTTGCAAAGAGGTGGAATCTTTGTAGAAAGTACTTTTATGCAGTTTTCCTGTGAACTGGTTCAGGCCCTCATTTGCTGAGGTATTTAGCCCCAGATATTTAGCTCCTAAGAAAGTTGTCTATCTCTACCTGTTTACTGCTCATGATTGCATTCAGAGTGACAATAAAACAAGTTCACATGCTCTCACCCAATTATCTTTTGAGTGAATTGAGTGGAGCATGCCCTCCCTCTCCATTGTAGTCATGCTTCTTATAGCCCACCAAATAATGATATGGTGACTGATGTGAACATAATTTATAAGAGAAATAACATGGGGAGATATCTCTTGTTTTTCATCTTCTTCCCTAAAGTTGTATGTATTCCTCATTCCAGATAAATGGTGGTGTGAAAATTTAAAGCAGATACAGTGGTATCTTGGCACTCAACTGCTTTGAAACTCATTGAACTTTGTTCCAGTACTCGTTGTTTGTTTGGTATTCAATGCACAAGCTAGAACTTGTTGTCAGCTGCCTTGTGATTCATTACATTATTCCATATGGGAAAAATTGGTGGTATTCATCCTTTTTGGTACTCATTGTGCCTCCTAGAACCAGTTAACAATGAGTACGAGGTACCACTGTACTGATTGGTAGATTTCTCAGCTGTTTTCTGCACAATGAAATCCAGCCTTCTATTGATTTTTCTCTATTGCAATTATCTTTGGTTATTGGACCTTGCATATGAGCAAATAATGAAACAACACAAGTATATTTAATAATATAACTAGTTTTGTTTCATTTTGATTCCTCTCTCCCTCTCTGTAGGCTTCATTTCTCTCAGATCAACCAGAGCCTTACCTTCCTTTCCTCTCCCACTTCATTGAAACCCAAATGTTTGCAACATTCATTGACAATAAAATTATGTCCCAATGGGAAGAAAAAGACCCATTTCTGCGAGTGTTTGACTCTCGAATTGAAAAAATGAGACACTATGTCAGGATTCCCTCATTAAGAACATCGACATACCAGAAATGCACCACATTAAAAGAAGCAGGTATCAGTAGATTTTTTTTATATTAAATTACTTCTTTTAATAACTAGGAAAAATGGGCTTATTGTTCTTTGGAATTGTTTGAGTTAAAATATTAAGATTTTCACTAGTAATTTATTTAGGAATAGTAAATTTCTTTGGGTTTTTGTCCATCTGTGTAAAAGTATATTTAAGTCTCTTAAGTGAATCTAAAAATGCTCCAATGTCCGAGTTGGGTCTTGTTTATTCTAACATACTTTCTGTATGTTCCTCTGTAAAGTTTTCTAGTGGGCTATCTGTCATTAGGAAAAGTTACTGCAACAAGTTTAAACCCCCAAAAAATCTAAAAATAGACAGAATAAATTCAACTTTATTCTGCACAGGAGCTGCTGTTGATCTCCTAAGGCTGCAGAAGTGTATAGCTAGTGTGCTAGTTCCAAATTTGGTGACCATTTTGCGGAGAGGTTGGGAAGATTAAGGAGAGAACTGAATACCTTACATCATTCAAGTTGAAATGATGTATTTTTAATCAGGGGATGATCGGAAATAAACATGGTTAGGGGTTCTAAGGGGTTAAATGAATTGCTCCCAGAAGCTAGCTATCAGTGATTACTGATTCTGATAGCAACAATGGTTAATCAGTTGAGTAATGGCAGCATTTCTCAACCTCAGAAACTGTGAAGAGGTGTAGACTCTTAAGAGGTATTGACTGGCTGCGAAATTCTGGGAGTTGAAGCCCACACTTTTTCCTGCTGAGGTTGAGAAGCAATAACTACTATATTTTATTCCAAATATCTTTCAAAGACACACCATCAAAAAAAGCACATTATAACAATTAACTATTGATAAACTGTGGCTTTTCTTAAAAGTATGATTCATATGGGAGTATGATATTTTTTTTGTACAGCTCAGAGCTATTCTATATTAAGATGAGAACCTCTACCATAGATCTCAAAATGCATGTTGTAGCTGCATTTTCACAAACTTCACAGATTGCAGTTTGAGATCTTATATGAGCTCAATAAAAGTTCATGCAACATACCAAAATTCTACTTTAAATAAATGTTGGAAGACTGTATGCATTTAGGAATACAATCACCATCTGGTTTAGCCATGATGGTGAAACCAAAGGGTTATGGGAGATTTCTTATGGCAGACAATTATTCTAAATAAATAGTACCTCAATAACTGATGGTCATAATTGATGGTTGGAGACTGAAATAAATTTTGAAATTTGATGATTTGATGATTTTCAGCAGCCTCAACTTAGAAAAAGTTGCTTATAAATTATTTCCCCTTACACATTGTCTTAACCTGAGAGGATGACAGAATTGAAGTGACATCAAAGGGTAGCTCTAATTAGCTGAAGCTTTTTTTAATAACATAAATTGAGGATATTAAGGAAAGAGGTGGAATTTCTCTCTGTTGCGTAGCTTCTAAATTTATCGAAAAGAACTCTCTGAGAGATGACCTACATTTTTCCCTTTGATTTCCCCAACTTTAAACTCTTGACCATCCAACAATCTTTAGTATGGCTTTTTATTTCTCTCTACAACCCCAGTGATTTGTCAGGAATGAAGAAATTCCCCGTACTTTCCTTTTTTGTCATCTAGCTTTTCCAAAATTTTGAATAAGGGCATCCGTTAGTGGCTATTTTTTTTTTTTGTCTCCTCTGAATGAAATGATACGATAATATCAGATGCAACAGTATCTGAGATACTACTGTACATAGGTAAGATTTCTCTGTTTAAAAACGGCTAAGCATTTCATATAACTTTGTTTATTGCTTTCAGCTCAGGCAATTGAACAACGACTGATAAAGATGGATCACGCTGCAATTCATCCACATTTGCTTGATATGAAGATAGGTCAAGGCAAATACGAGCAAGGTTTCTTCCCCAAACTTCAATCAGATGTGTTGACAGCTGGGCCTATCAATAACAAGTAGGCAGTATAAAGCATTTTATAATCATAGTTTGTGTATAGCAATATAATCATGCTATTTCCTTCATTTACTGGAAATATGGGTAATCTCTTCCTTCCCCTCAAATTATTCCACTTAGTGCTGTCTAGATACTGGATCTGTAGCTCCCAAACCTCCCAGCCAACTATAATTATATTTACAATATATCTGGCAGAGGTTTTAGGAACACTATCTAATGTACTTTCTGCCGGTTTCCTGAAGAATATCCAGAAATCACAATGAGAGAGCATCCTCTGTCCTTATATAGTTCATAATAAGTAGCATAACTTATGTACTGCCCTTATGTAGATCGGTATAGAAGCTTATCTTACAACTCTTTCTGCACTGGCCATTACATTCAAACCTTGCTAGTGGAATAGTGTTAACAGATAGGTTTTCCAAATTTAGTCCAATGTTAAAATTTTAAGACTTCCATTCTTATTCTTATGTTCCTTATTCTGATTTAAAAAAGCAATTTAATTAAGCAGGACCTCATATCATCATTTAATTTTTTTCTCAATTGATTTCTAAGTGCTAGTTAACTTGGAGTAATCAGAAATGATTGCTGCAAAATAGAAATGATTAAATAAGATTGCTAATATGCTAATCTCAGCTAATTATTCTGTAATCCTTTGTAATTACCTGTAAAAGAACTTAATTATTGCATGTAATACAATGCATGTGGCAAAGTAATCAGAAACTATATACGAGATCAGATAACCCACCATTGTGATTTACATTTTTCCTGTACTTTTGTAAAGAAAAAAAAATTGGTTAAGCCTTCTTGTATATGGAAATAATTTTATGAATGAAAAACCACTGAGATAGGTTGGTCTAGAGTCTAGACAACCTTTGAGATTCTTTTAACCAGAGGTGGGCTGCTGGGCGTTTGCAGGGGTTCGGGAGAGCCCCTAGCTAAGATTCTGTGCAGTTCAAAGAACCCCCAAATCCCACTCCTAGCCAGCCCCGCCCATCCTGCCCCCCCCAAGAGTCCTCATGCAGTCCGTTTTGGATACAGGTAAGGGCAGCGCACGTGAGGAGGCTCGGGGAGGGCGAAAAATGGGCCTCCTGGAAGTTTGGGGAGGCCGGAAATGGTCCTGTTTCCTGCTTCCAGAGAGCCTCTGGAGTCTGAGGAGTCTGTTTTCGCCCTTCCAGAGGCTCGAAGAAAGCCTCCCGAGTGGTGCAGGAGGCTGACTAGGCCACGCCCACAATGGCCACACCCACCCAGCAACCGGGCAGAGAACCCTTTGCTAAAAATTTTGAAGCCCACCCCTGCTTTTAACTTTATGATTCCATTGGCTATTGGTTATTTCCTTCAATTTGTTTTTTTTTTTCTGGTTCATAATGTGCCCTTCTGTGCAAATTCCCTTTCTGAGCTGTGAGGTTTGTGAATAAAAAAGAATGTGGTTTTCTCTGAAATGAGCAGGTGTGACATTGGTTACAGTTTATTCTCACTGCTTCCTTTCTATTAAATAATTGCAGTCGGTGGGTGAGTCGCAGTACTACTGCCCAACGAAGGAAAGACCGTATTCGACAACATTCGGAACACATTGCCTTGGACAATGAGTTAAGGGAGGTAAGCGCTGAAGTTAAGAATGTATAAAGTCAGGGGTTTCTGCAAGCCTCAGTAATTTGTAGTTATATAATATTTTCCATACTCTGCTTTAATCACTTAATAATGTGCAAGGAAGAACTTTCCATTCAGGTGTGTGTGTGTGTGTGTGTGTGTGAGAGTGTGTGAGAGAGAGAGAGAGAGAGAGACAGACAGACAGACTATGGGTGCCTTTATCTGTTTTTTTACTCCTAGCAACTGCCTAAGCAAGTTCCTGCAGTTTTCTTGGCAAGATTTTTCAGAAGATGTTTGTCATTGCCTTCTTCCTAGGGCTGAGAGAAAATGACTGGCCCAAGGTTATCATGCCTAATGCTGGACTAGAACTCATCAACTCCCAGTTCCTAGCCTGATGCCTTAATGACTACACCAAAATGGCTCTTGATTCATGACCAATGCAAAATACGAAATACATGCATAATTTTGTAATTTTAAAGCAAATTATATTGAAAGGGGGGAAATCATTATGCTAAACTAATTAACAACATCTGGAATGTTTGGATTGTTCTGGGTTTTCAGTAGAAGAAAATCCAGAGGGATCTCTGAGTGTTATTAAGGGACAAATGATAAAAGGCTGATGATACTCCTTTCCCCTCACCTCAGTAGCTCCCAGCATAGCATGTCCTGTTGGGTGGCTATAGGGTAGTTTCACTCTGGCCTTCAGAAGGAGATGGGAGAAGAGAAATGGTTGCTCAGCCCTGGGCCAATAAACGGCTAAGAAAGGAGCTCAGAAGAGCCCCATGTTGATCTTGCTGTGGGTAAAAAGGGGGCAGTGAAGGTTTCAGATAGACTTTCAAGATTCTGTTTTGATACCTGCAGCAATGGGGTAATATTTGTGGAATCCCTGTGTTGTCCACCTCGCTTGCCTTGAAGAGCTGAGACCATCTTCTCCATTCTTGCATCTCCTCTATGTCTTTCCTCCCTCTGTCCCTCAGTCCTTGTTGCCACCAGAGACTTCTGCAGGCCCATCTCTGACATTCTGTCTACCTTCCCTTCTTTTCTTGTCCCACTCTGGGTCTCCTTAGCTGCTACCAACATTGCAATGTATCATGTCCCACTAGTTCACTCATCGTTCCCTTCGATCCCATGCCTCCCCATAGCCATTATTAGTGTCCTTGGCTTCTTCCCACTCTTATCTCCTCCAAAATTACTTGTGCTCAAAACAATTGAGTTTCATCCCATATCTCTACAAAATAGTCCCACTTCATCCCATGGATGGACCAGAACCCCCCCAAAAAACCTGTTTCAGTTTAGGCATAGCTTGTTTAGAACCAGCTTTTCCCCTGTTCACACACAGAATATTTGACACATCCCTTTGCATTTTAAACTAGAACAATTCTGAAAATTTTGACAACATTATTCAAAAATCCTCTCCAATAGATTTTTTTAAAAAATAAAATATGGTCAGGAATATTTGGAGGCTAAAGTACTCATAACACAATTTTGTTGCACTTTCTGAATGTGCTTCTCACTAGTTTTCATAGGAAACTAAGTTAATAGATGTCATGTTATTTAAAGTTAACTTATATTGGTTTACCAGTACAAGATAGTTAATCTTGTTATTGCAAGATCTTATAATGGAAAATGATGGAGATACATTCTTTCTTAAAACAAAAACTGGTCTGTACTTTTATTTTATTTGTCATTTTCTCACCTTCTTTAAAGAATATCAATTATAACCACAACCCTTTTCAAGCCATTGTTTGATTGTTCTTCTTTTAGGTGGAATGAGCTTAAAAAAACATTGCTTTGTGTTGATGTAAACATATTCCATGCTTTTTAAAATTTAATTTAATTTGTTTGCTTGTTTATCTGTGCTGTATTTATTCCCTGCCTTCCCTTTGGGATGTTTTTCCTTGATTCATGTGCAGCATGCATATTTCATCATTCTCTTTTTCTCTGTCTGCTGTTCTGCCATGGGTTCTGTTGGCCTCCTCCAAGCCATCAGAGGAGTTCTTGATTCGCCAGAACTCGATGGCATTCTGGGAGTGGGATCAGGGCCTGCCCCCTCCTTTACGGCCACCTAAAAAATCATTCTCTGAATGTTGCCTGGTACGTGCTGTTCTTTAATTTTGTTCCCCCCCACCCCGAGAGCTGCTTCCTTCATCACGCTAACCACTGCTGTTTTATCTGGTAGACCACCATTCATTCCTCTGTGGTCATTGAAAGTGTGGTTCTGATTGGGCAAGTTATCCCCACAGCACCAGAAATCCCTGTTTTGTATCAGTATTATAGTGGTAGGAAACCATCAGATTCCTCTTCATGGGCTGGTGAAAAATGAAAACTTGGACTTCAATAGTGTAGTTATGTGACTTTAGTTTTAATGGTCTTACTAAGGAAACTCTAGTAAGACAGCTACGCATATTACTTGGGAATATGTAAACAATTGTATATTTGAGAGACTGCCTCTCTTGAGAATCTCTATCTGTCCTGCTATATTGGATAGGTTGGATTCGCTCCAGATCCCCTCCATTCAGTGTCATTTGGAAGGACCTAGAAAGTGAGCCTCTTATAGCTGCGCTTACCATATGGAACAGGTTCTCTCCTGAGTTATGGAGAGTCCCAACCTGTTTTGCCTTCTGAAAGGACTTTATGGTCATGGGTCCAATCTGGGTCAGTCACTGGGACCAGAGGTTTAATTTTCTGAGCTTTCAGATTCATTCCAGAGCCCATCCTCATTAAGATCATGGGGTTTTTCCCCCTCAAGCATTGGGATGTGATGGGAAGTGAACTTAAGTCTTTTTTGTGTGCTTTTTTTAAGAAAGTACCATTATAGTGCTGATGGTGTTCTAGGGTGTTAATCTTCGTGCATTCATTGGTTGCCTAGAGTTGTTTTACATAATATAGATGGCATGCATTTTTTTCAAATAAAAAGACAGCATAATTTTCATAGTAAAAATAAAACAGGCATATTAAACTGCTAGACTAGTTTTCTATAACTCTATATCTTGCGTTTTCATGTACACATATCTGCACACATACAAGTGTGTGCCATCCTGATTAGCTCCACATACTTTAATTATCCTGATTATAATATCAGCTGTGTTTTGTTGTTGACTTCTTACCTGCTGCTATTGCAACGTCCTTGGTGATTATTTGATGGGCTTTCAGTCCCTAGAATTAGACATCTTCTTCAAAATCTATCACAGGGGTGTCAGACTCAAGGCCCACGGGCCCTGAGTTTGATACCTGGAAACAGTGAAGGACCGGCTCGTGGTGTCTCTGCCAGTGAAAACAGAGTTTGAACTCCGTTTTTGCTGGCAGAAAGTTGCAGGAAGCTGTCACAGTCGAAAACAGAGTTTGGGAGTCTGTTTTCACTTGCAGAGCACTTGGACCACCACAAGCAACTACAACATGGCTGGCTGTGTCCACCCCACCATTCCCATCCCGCAGTTTGAAGTCGAGCTGGCCATGTGCCCCCTCCCCCCGAGGTCAAACACAACGCTGATGTGGCCCTCAATGAAATAGAGTTTGACATCCTTGGTCTATCGCTCCCTGCCTCACTAGCTAGAGATTTTTCTCCCTCTAAATTGAATTAGATATAGTCTTGTAAACAGTCCATAAAGACAATATCACTGGATGTTTACTCCAACTTATTCAATGAGAACCTTGCTTTGAATGGCCAACACAAATTCCCTTCCTGTTCCTTTTCTTTCTTTCTTTTTTTCCTTAGTTTGTTCATTACAATGTTCTTTCATTTTTCCAGTTAGTTGCTGCTTGATATATTCAGGATAATTGGGGGGGGGGGGGAGTGTATAAACTATGGAATGCTGCTACAAAATTATGGATTATATAACATACCCTAAACTTAGGAGGAAGTTGGAAGTTTCAAGCTTTCCCAGTATTGATCTTTACCATCATTCAAATGATGTGCATTACCGTATTTCAAGTGATTTATACAGTATAGTACAACATTTTTTTTAAAAACCTCATGAAATTAACATAAACATAATACAGTAATCAATTATAGAAGCAACTCAGATCTACTGTCAGCACCACAGCTTATTGGAACAATTTTGGTCTTAACAATGTTGCCAAAAGTGAACATGTCAATGTGTTCCATAACATGGAGGCCACTACCGAGAAAATGTCCTCCCTTTGTTTCTTGTGGAGTGGAGACCTCAGCAATCTTTCTTGGGATGAATGCTCAGATCTGGCTTACTCTGGTCGGGAGAAATACTACTACTAGATATATCTGCCTGAACATGTAGGACCTTTAAGGATAAAACTAGCACTTTGGACAGGGGCTGGAGGCCTATTGGTAATCAATGCAGTGAATTCCACAAAGGTGTAACATTACTTAACTTGTAACTTCCTGCTATTGGGATGTTGCATTTTGGCCCCGTTGCAGCTGGAGAGTCTACATGGGTGGTCCCATATAAAGCATATTGCAGTAGCTGAAACATAAAGTGATGAGTACATGAATCACAGTTTTTAGGGGTTTCCAGTCCCAGGAAGCCTGCAATTAACATGCCAACTAAAGCCAGATGAAAGCTTGCCCTGTATGCAAAAAAAAAATAATCTATTTGCTATCTAGAATTCTGCTACTGCAGATGGAATAGTTGTAAGACACTGAAGTCATTTTTTGTGACATGGAAGCTATATAAATTAGATTAATAAATAAATCCATGAAAACTGTAATACAGTTATAGTTTTAGGGCAGGGAAGCCTTACAGACATTACTGATAATCCTGCGGTAGTGTTGTCCATTCCTCTGTGTGTTATGTGCGTATTTATTTAGGGACATACAGAGGGGAGGGAGGAATCAACCATGAAGTTGATTCATGATAGCAGTGTACTTAATTCAAAGATCAGAAAGGCTGAAGGAAGCCAGGAAAACTTGAGGATTTCAGCCCCTGTTGAAAAGATGTTCCTGATCTCCAGAAATTATTTACTGAGAAGCAGGAGGCTTCTTTGAGAAGCATCACAGGTTTAGCCCGGTCTATGTGTTTCTCCAAAGGCAGCCAGCAGAAGTATTGATTGATTGATTGATTGGTTACATTTCTACACTTCCCCATCTCACCTGAGTGACTCTGGGTGGTTTATAAATAAAACATAGAGTACTATCAAAACCAGATAAAAAACAATTAAAAACAAAATTAAGAGGTAAAGTGAATTCCCTCAAGCAAGCAACCACTCCTAGGGGTGCATATCATTCTTAGGCCTCTCCTCATGCCAGTGGCAAGAGCTAAGTCTTGACACTCTTCCAATTACTTTGGTAATTGTGTATATATTGTATATATTGCATCCTCTTAAAAACAATTCGCATTGTTGCCCATGTTACTCTTTGAAACATGTTGCTTCTGCCTTCATGTAAATGCCTTACATGAAACAAAAAACAATTCCCTAAAGGATAGGGAATGATAATGCTTTTTCCCAAAACCATTTTAAAAAACCCTTCTGTACTAGTATCCTCTGCTGCCAGCTTCAAATTACCATAATGTATAGTTATTACATTTTGGTACAAAGTTAATTAGGAAATTATATCAGATTAAGCAGGACAGTGCTGCCTGTACTGGTTTTTTTATTATGTTCATTCATGTTCTCTTTTCTTACTGGATTAGAAATACATGCAAGAAGCAAGGACCTTGGGGAAAAATCACAGGCAACCCAAACTCTCTGATCTTTCTCCTGCTGTAATTGCTCAGACAAATTCAAAATTTGTAGAAGGTTTGCTCAAAGAATGTCGAATGAAGGTAAGTTTGTTGTATGTACGTGCACAGGCAAAACATCCATGTTATAAAGTTAGGTAGTCTCCCAACCCACCAATGCTTTTTCATTTTGCTGTTCTGGGATTTTGAATTGAACGATAAATGGTCATCGTTCTGCATTCTAGTGAGGGTCCCACTTTGTGGTTTACTTGGTATAACAATTCAGGTAAACAATGCAATTGAAATTCACATGGACAGAAATTAAAATATGATTGATTTATTGTTATCCTGTCTCTCTTGAATGAACAGATCTGTATTGTTGGATATCATTTTTTTAGGGTGAGTTCCAAAATTTACATGTAAAATTACATCATAAGATAGAACAGGATCATCCATAAAACCACAGAAAATTATGCATTCAGAAAGCATGAAAGCAGAAAACTTTCAAACCTTTTAAAAATTTTTTAGAAGAATAAAAGGGTTATTTACGTTGGCGCAGTAGTTAGAGTGCAGTACTGCAGCTACTTCTGCTGCCTGCCAGCTGCCTGCAATTTAGCAGTTTGAATCTCACCAGGCTGAAGGTTGACTCAGCCTTCCATCCTTCCGAGGTGGGTAAAATGAGGACCCAAATTGTTGGGGGCAATATGCTGACTCTGTAAACCACTTAGAGAGGGCTATAAAGCACTGTAAAGTGGTATATAAGTCTAAGTGTTATTGCTATTATTTCTGTTACTAAGAAAAATAACATCATGATTCCAAGTGCATCATCCTGTTGAGAGTTTCCTAAGGATAGGGCACTCCATTTGATATAGTTGCCTTTTGACATTTCAGAAAAGGCAAAGTTGAGTTTAAGTTGAGGATTTTAAGCTTTGTAAATCACTTGCTTGTCTGCAGACCAAACGTATGCTAGTAGAGAAGATGGGCCACGAAGCAGTGGAACTTGGCCACGGAGAGGCCAACATCACAGGGCTAGAAGAGAATACACTGATTGCTAGTCTTTGTGATTTGCTGGAAAGAATTTGGAGCCATGGATTACTGATCAAACAGGTTAGTGACTTGAAAACTCAAATATGTTCATCTTCTGTATTACTTCTATACATTGCTTTGCCTAAAACATTCATTGCTGAATATCTTGTCCCATGTCTTGGAAGAGGTTTGGAAATGTTTGAACAGCCTAATTTGACTGGTCCAGAGTCAAATTATAATTAATGATGATTCCAAACTCCAAATCAGTAAATGAAATCTCCAAGCAATCTCATGTAAATTTTGACATGAGACTTCAGATTCTTATAATCTGGTATGGTTTTAAGTTCTATTAAAGAGAGAGATCCCATCTAAATTAAGGAGAAATTTCCTGACAGTAAGAGCAATTAATGGCTTGCCTCTGGAAGTTGTGGGTGCTCCATCACTGGAGGTTTTCAGGAAGAAACTGGACAGCCATTTGTTCAGAATGGAATAAGATCTCCTGCTTGAGCAGCGGGCTGGACTAGATGATCTACAAGGCCCCTTCCAACCCTGTTATATTCTGTGTTCTAATTATCTGTTTATTGTTATAAAAAGGGGAAATCTGCATTGTGGTCCCATTTAATTCAGTACCAGGAAAGAGAAGAGAAGCAGGAGCAGCTTGCAGAATCTCCAGGTGAGTATTACAGATGTTTGCAGGGATAATGTTCCAAGAACTATTAGCAGGACTATTAAGAGACAATGAAGGAAAAAGTAAATGACAGCTCAGCTTTGGGAAGGATGGAACCTTTGACAGAGACTCTAGTTTTTTCCCCCCCCAAATCCTTTTTTTTTTTTTTAATAATTGCTCTTTGGACTTGAAATAGTGGATCTAAACCAGGGGTGTCAAACTCAATTTCATTGAGGGCCACATCAGGGTTGTGTTTGACTTCGGGCGGCTGGGGTGGACATGGCCAGCTCAACGTCACTTGTGTCAGCGGCGCCTGTGGTGGCCCGAGTGCTCTGCTAGAGAAAACAGGCTCCTGAGCTTTATTTTGGCCTGTGATGGCCTCCTGCAACCCTCTATCAGCGAAAACGGACATTGAGTTCCATTTTCACTGGCAGAGGCACCGCGGGCCACTCCTTCACTGTTTCCAGGGCAGCGCCACAGGCCAGATCTAAGCACCCCATAGACCGGATCCATCTCCCCAGCCTTGAGTTTGACACCCCTCATCTAAACCATCTGATTTCTACTCAGTAATAAAATAATATCTTTAGTGGTAGATGCATATTTACACCCAAGAATATAATGTCTCAGATGGTCTTGCATAGTTGCAGCATTTTAGTATAATGTATATAATGAAATTAAAAAAGCTATTATTCTTGTAAGTTAGGATAAATGATTATTTTACTCCATCAAAGAAAATAGCACAAATCAAAGGTTTACCGTACCTCTTCTAGGTACAAATATCCATTTAAGCAGATTTGTTGGCATGTATTCATATTTTTAATGCTCTCCCTCGCTCTCTGATTAGGAAGGTACAAATATTTGTCAGTTGGGAATGATGATGAAAGTTTGGGAGAGTAAAACAAAAGTGAAAGATCTAAGGAATCAATTGGGATTATATGACTGGACAGAAAGTAAAGTCTTTTATTTTAGTCAGGAAGGTCAAAAATTCTTTTCTCACCTGTTAAATTGTATAAATATTTAAGTCTTTATCTGGTCAGAATGAATAATTCTAACAAACTTACTGAGATCAGGGAGTGTTTTTATTTTACTGATATGAAAAATATGAGATGTAAAAACTGATATCAGGTTATATGTTTAGGTATAAGTTGCTTTTTTTCTATTTTAGCATTGTATGTTTACATTAAAACTTTTCTCAAGTGTAAAAATTCTTTGGAATAAATGTAGTTTGGTGCCAACCTTTGGCTTGCCCTGTCTAGCACAAAAGCTAAACTTAATTGGTCCTAGTTAATATGTGGATGAAGTTCATCTGGAACAGAAAATAGACTGGGATGTCAAAAAGCATCATGGAACAAGGCAATGGCAACCTTCTGCAGTACGGATACGAAAAAAAAAACCCTACTTGTCAACAAAATCAAGAGTCAAGTTTGACTTGAAAAGATAATTTTTGATGATTCCCCTTGAAATGTTCAGACGTAGCTCTGGATTAAATAAAAGGGACAGCCAACTGCCACAGCCAAGGCTATTCTTTCTGTGACTTAATTTGGGTAGATTTCTCAAAGAGGTTTAATACTTTAGTAGATTTCTGTACTGAACATGTTACTAATAAATTAATGAATCTTCTCCTCGCTACCACTCTACAGTTGCTGTTGGACCAGAAAGAAGGAAATCTGACATGGGTCTTATGTTACCTACTTTAAGAGTTTCACTTATCAGTGATATGAGGTAGGACATTTAATTCCTAAAACTTTGGTTTTAAAGATTTATGCTTCAAATGGAAAAATAAAAGGGCTACTTTATGCATCAGAGCTTTATGGCTGTCAAACACAGTTTACCGTGGAGAGGTTTGTGAGTCTGAATAAAAATAATATGAGAAGGAAGTGAGACAGGATTCCTCCTTTCAGGAAATGTTGTAAATTGGACAGTAATGGTAGACTAGGCTAGGACAACAGTTCAACCTTCCAGTTAATCATGTAGGACACCTAGGCCATTCATCACATTTGTCAGGTTAATATACCCATCGCAAACAGAACTCCAAGGCAATTCGTCTCCTCAAAGAACAGGTTTATTTGTTGAGGTTCGCAGGCAGCTGGTACAGATGGTAGCGGAATCGGACAGTGGGGAAGAACAGGGACCAGTCAGGGAGTCTGGAGAGGACTCGGACGAAGGTCCTGCGTTCGATGCAGGGATGGGCCCAGGACCATCTGGGAGTGGGATGCTGACTCCAGAGCCTTCGGAGTCTGGCAGCAGCGAGATAGAGGACCCAGGGGAGCCTGTTCCCAGTGCGAGTATGCGCAGAGCTGCTAGAAGGCAAGAGCAGCTGAGACAAAAGGGGTGACTTGGGAGTAAGGCTTGGAGGTGATTGCCCCTCCCATAAGGTATAAAGGACAGGCAAAGGTGATGAAACCTTTGCAGGAAGCAAAATAGTTCGATCGGTTCAGAGTCATTCTTGAAGCTCTTTGTACTTCGGTTGGTTTTTTTGTACTTCGGTTGGTTTTGTTTCTAGTTCATTTGATACATCTGTTATTGGCAGCACTTCACAGAAAAGGAAAGGTGTGTGCCTATCTCTCGGGACTGTTTGAGATTAATTCCAACTGGGAATGAAAACAATTCCCAGAGTTGCAATAAATTAAGTCTTAAGTGTGTGCGTAATTACGGTTTAGGAAGCCTTGGTCAGAACATTATTCAGATACATCATCTAGGCACAAACTGGTGGAAAGCCAGCACTGAAGGTTCCCGCGCTTTCCACCACATTAAAAGTAAAAGTTTCTTGTTTTCTCAAAACAATAAATCACATTGTCCAATCAGGATACTGGCTGGTTGCTTGGCGACTTCTCTCCTCCTCCTCCTCTGGCCAGCCAGCCAGCCGTTGGAATGTCTCTGACTAAAAAGAGAGCTATGTTGTTTTGACTGCAAAACTCTGATCTATCTCTACTCTCCCCCTTCAACTCCAAATTGTGTTAGCCTGAAACCATGTGAGGATAACTCACGATAGAAACAAAAGCCCCAATGCAAAGGGACAGGCCACAGGCAGGTCAGCTTCAGGCTTGACAACATCTCTGTTAGTGTAGTTTATGGATGTTGCCTATAGGCCCTGGAAGGAAGATGGAATTATCTATCATTATTATTACAGGTGGTTCTTGATTTAGGACTGGTTGCTTAACGGCTACAACGATTCATTTAATGATCTCGCCCCAAAATGTTGTAAAATCAGATCCAGTCACATGGGCGCTTTAACTTATGACCGTAACAACTTAAGACTCTAAATCCGGTCCCAATTGCAGTTGTAAGTTGAGGACTATCTGTATTATCATCCCATATCAATCTACTTCAGAATGAAGGCCCCTTGAGCTGCTTTCCAAATGCTTCAACGTGCTGCAAGTTGTTTGCAGGTAACACCTCTAAATGAATTACATCACCTCCCCAGTGTTTCTTTGGACATTTTCTGGGTCTTTTAAGGTTAACTGGTAACCAATCAAGAGTTATTTTTGTGCAGTGTTGATCTGTTTGTTGTGTGGCCCATTGCCATTTCTGAAGGTCTACCTGCTTTGTTATGATGCATACTCCTTTCTGGTTGTGGATGTGGATGTGTCTTAAGATAAACAATTTGTATGTATGCCATGAGTGTACGTGAAGAGATTTCCATTCTATGTAAGTATTTTGAGCTACACAAATACTCAGTTCATTTGAAAAAGCCCAAACTTCATATCCTCTTTGTCTCTGTCTCTAAAACAATGTTCAGTTTCAGTTCAGCTCTCCCAAAAGGTATTCGTAACCCAGATCCAAAGATATGATGGTCACGTGACTGCATTTTGGATGCTCGGCCGGTGGCCTACATGTACTACCAAGCTCAATTATACAGTTGTAAGTTGAGGACTACCGGTAATTGTCGAGTTCTATGAGGAAGCACATATGCACTGGTTTCAGTCATCTAGATCAGGGGTATCAAACTCAAGGCCCATGGGGTACTTAAATCTGGCCCACAGGGCCAGCCTGGAAATAGCAAAGGGCCAGCCCACGGTGCCTCTGGCAGCCAAAACAGGGCACGGGGGCAGTGTGTGGCCCTCCATGCCCCGTTTTTGGCCTGGACGGCCTCCTGCAGCACTGGAGCCCCCCATGGACGGCCTCCAGCACATTCCCCATTTTGGCTGGCAGGGTGCTGCAGGAGGCTGTCCAGGCTAAAAATGCAGGCCCCTCCATGCCCCGTTTTGGCCGGCAGGGTGCTGCAAGAGGCGTCCGTCCCATCTCCCCACCCCAGCTGGCCCACAGAGGAGAACTACAAAGCTGATCCGGCCCTCGAAGAAAACTAGTTTGACACCCTTGATCTAGATCCAAGCTAGTGCACAGGACGGCGTATTCAAAGCATCCTTGCCAAAAGCCTGAACATGATTATTCCTTCCCAGATTATAGCACCCTGCTGAGCTGCAGCATAATAGACTTATCGTTGGCCAGGTCTGATCTGCTTCCCTGCCTCATTGCTTTGAGCATATTTATGCATACAGCAGAGAAAGCAGAAGCCAGGAACGAAGCTTTTAGCTTTTTGATCTGAGGCTGCTAGGGCTTCTCCTGGGTGCCACTAATATTATTTATTCTCCCGTTGTCACTCGCTTGCTTGCATTTTCCTTGGTAGTATCAGGAAAATGATTGATGTCACCAAAGCTGTGCTTTAAATGGAACTCATCAAAAATCGAGGAGTGGGAAGTTTCAGCTTTGATGTTGTCTCTATCAAAAGGCTTTAAATAGTTACAAGTGAGTGTTTTTCATCACGTGCTTATCATATTTCTCAAAGACTTTTGATCACATGCCTGGTTGTGCAGTGTTTGTTGCCCCAAGAGCTGCTTGTCAAAGACAGTGCCCCCCCCCCAAAAGAGAGGAGTCTTGTTTTATAGCAGCTTGGATGGTTGTGTGAGTCACAGCTCAAGGAGAGGAGCTGTGGGAGTCACTAAAAACTACAAAAGGAGCTGGGAGAAGATTATCTCACTCTTTAAATGGCTGGATGAATCAGAAGGGCTCATTTAACCTCTTAATTTCATGCAAGCAGTGGAGGGAACCACAGTTTGCATTGTTATTGTGTGCAAAAACTGATGAAGGAAGGTTGGGATATGTTAATTAAGTGTTGACAGCAGCACTATTTCCAGTGCAGCAGCAAGCAAGCTCTGCAGTATTTTTTTTTTTAAAGTTTCCATACATTGTAATGAATTGCAGCCGTGTGGTACACGGTGGAATCCACCTTTGCTACAACGGTGCAGCAATTGCTGCAAGAATGGGGGCAGGGCTGGCATAGGGAGGTGCTAGGGAGGAAATTTCTTCCAAGCAGCACATATTCACTGCACCATCCCTTCCCTTTGCTCACTTGGTCTAAGAATGGGAATTGGGAGAAGGCGCAAAGAACCAGAATTGCAGGATCCATTCCGTCAAAATGCACTTGTTTTTGACTACACACAACTTTTGCTTGGTTTGCTTGCTTAGCCTAACTCTTGTCGTTGTGTCACTTATCACATATGGGAGCTTGCCCTAAATATGCGGTTTTCAGGTCATACTTCTCCAACTACAGGGCCATGGCTGAGATCCTGGGACCTTGAGGTTCACAGACTGTGGGGCTCCTCTATAATTTGCTGCTGAGATGTTACTTTTGAGTGTGAGAGAAAACATGAGTTTTGCACATATCAGTGGATTTTGCATATATTTCAGTGGCTGGTTTGTTTCATTTTCTTCATTTCAATTTGCTTTCTAACCTTGTTTATTTTTTGGGGGAATGGTTCCCCCAGCACACTGTACAAAGACTAAGCATGGTCTTTAAACTGAAAAAAAGTTGCACCAGCCCTATTCTGCTGTACAGGCCCAATGACCAAGCCTTTTCAGCTTGCTAAGCTACTCTTTCCTTTTCCATAATTTATTTATTATATTTTTACCCTGTCTTTATTATTTTTAATAACTCAACATGGCCAGTATAATTAATAACTCCTTCCTTCTCCTATTATCTCCATAACAACAACAACTCTGGGAGGAGGGTTGGGCTGAGAGAGAGAGCGACTGGCCCAAAGTCCCCCGGATGGTTTTCATGCCTATGGCAGCACTAAAACTCACAGTCTCCTGGTTTTTAACACCTTTACCTCTACACCAAAGTAGCTCTACTATACCAAAGGGATGATAATTCATTCTGAGAACTCCCAAGTAGTCCAAATCTATAGGCCTTGTTTTATTATCTTGTGCTGACCAGATCACAACATAAATTTTGTAGTGAATCATGTAGAAAACTAGACTTCCCTTTTAAATTTCTCTTCTTATTTATAATTTTATTACCATTCCCTACATACCTTTAATTTCACTGCAAAGAAACTCTTTGCTGGCTGAGGAATTCTGGGAGTTGAAGTCCACAAGTCTTAAAGTTGTCAAGGTTGGACACCCCTGCTCTAGATGGAGATTCTGGGTCACACAGAGTGGTGATATGTTACTGGTTCGGCCCGGTTTGGTAGTTAAAAAAAGCCTCCGAGGATCAGCTGAGAGGAGAAGGAAGAGAAAAGTGCAGGATCGGCCCTTCCACCCGCCTCTGCGCTTTTCTTTTCTTTATCCTCTCAGCTGCAGGCCTCAGTTGGTGTGTGGAAAGGTGCACGTTAGGTGCGCGCGCACATGTGTGATCACCAAACCAGTAGTGGAACAGGTAGGATCTCACTGCTGGTCACACAATTTGTTATTGAGCTGAAAGGACATTCTCTTGATTCTTATTCCATGAGCTTGAGGTTTCTCCAGCCTTACACTAATAGTCAATTTTTTTCTGTAGTGTGGAAATGCTTTCCAATAGATGTTAATTGTGCTTCTTCTTCTTTTTTTTTTCCTGAAGGCACATTCAGAACATGAGTGAAATAAAAACTGATGTGGGTCGGGCTCGGGCATGGATAAGACTGTCTCTTGAAAAGAAGCTCTTATCCCAACATCTCAAACAGCTCCTCTCTAATCAAGCTCTGGCAAAGTAAGTTCTCCAAGGTTGGTCCTTCCTAGAACAGTGGTGGCTAACCCTTTTGGACTCCTGTGCCAAAAAATGTGAGCGCTCGCGTGCCAATACCCAGAAGGCAATGCATGCGCCCTCCCACACCCCCTGACCATGCATGCGCAATCCCTCCCCGCAGTGCCCCCTTACCTGCACTGCACCTCCCAGCTGATTTTCAACCTTCCAGAGGCTTAAGGAAAGCTTCTGCAGCCTTTGTAGGCTGAAAAATAGGCCCGTTTCATCACTTCCCTTATTTCTGGAAATACCGGAAATGACAAAAGAGGTCTATTTTTCGGCCTGCAAAGGCTGCAGAAGCTTTCCTCAAGCCTCTGGGAGGCCAAAAAAGGCCTCAAACGGGCCAAAAATCAGCATGCGCAGTGAGGTAAGTTTGTCTGTGACTCGTGTGCTGGCACAAATGGCTGTGCGTGCCAGTTGTGGTACGCGTGCCATAGGTTCGCCATTACGGTTCTAGAATCTTCATTTCAGGTAGCAATTGGATGTGAATCTTTTCCAAGAGAAAGTCACTCAAAGTCAAAGGGGGCTTCGTACTAATTAAACAAATTAAACAAATTTGGGATTGCATATGAAGCCTCTCTTTAATTCTATTTGAGTATTAGGAACCTTTGCTTGGAATTGAAGTAGCCTGAGTTTCAGTGAAGATCCTGTGTTGTTCCAAAGTAGCTTTTCCAGTTAATGTTCTTGAAAGTACTACTATCAGCCTCAACCAGCATGGCAATTAACTCTTCATTCAGTTCTAAATTATGAGACTGAAAGACAGAAAACTTGACTGGCCTAGAATTGAAATGGAGGAGGGGGAGAGTTTGAGTTAGATTTTGTTACGTCACTGAGTTTCTTGAGCTCAGAATTCTTTTGATTCTTTACTCGTTGTTCGTAAGATATTTCTTACTCCCTGCAGGAAACTGTACAAGCGGTATGCCTTCCTGCGTTGTGAAGAAGAACGGGAACAATTTCTCTATCACCTTCTTTCTCTCAATGCTGTGAATTACTTCTGCTTTACAAGTGTCTTCACTACCATCAGTAAGTAGGGATAAAAGGCTGACTGTATACTTCCATTAAAAAACCTGTAATCAAGCCATCCAAAGGGAATTATCTGGAATTTTCTGGGAATTATCACAGGATAATAGCACAATGTATGTTATGCTACATTATGTTATGTTACAACTTTCCCAACCTGGATATTTTCCAGCTAATATGGACTTCAACTCCCAGAATTCTCAGCAATGGACCTGCTGGGAGAGAATTGAAATCTATAAATTTAAAAGATTTTCAGTTGGGGAAGACAGTTTAAGAAGTGGCCAAATTCATATTTTGTTTATTTAACTATAATTAATAATATAACATGTTTAATAATAACAATAATATAAATTATCATTACAATATTTAAATGCCTAGTAAATGAATTCTATAGCATGATATTTCATAGTTGCCCAGAGTCACTTAGTTAAGATGTGTGTCTATAGAATTTGAATGAATAAATAAATAAATAAATAACACAATAAAATAAGAATAAAAAAGAAATGCACAATATAAAATTATGTACTTTTAAAATAATGCATAAGGGACAGAAATATATCTTGGATAACTAAAGTGTTTAAAATATGGAAGAATATACACATCTTAGTCTAGAGCTGCAAAGCACGGTGAAGTCAGGGGGCCATTCCTGAGAAATTCCCATCTTCCTACCACCTTCCAAGGTTCAGAACGTGGGTGCATTCAAGAACTTTATTATATACTTATGGAGAAGGTCTTCTGCAGGACCCAAGATCTTTAGGTCTTCGCAAAAAGGCAGGTGACTTCCAGGATTTTGAATGGTTATATGGTATTTTCACTCTATTAATCAATAGACTGTATTAATTAATGGTTCCAAAGTAGTTTAAATCATGCTTACATTAACCCAAAAACAAATGTTCTAGACTATAGTCTTTTGAATGGTGGGTTTTCTTCACCCATGGAACCCTGTTATCCATTGTAACGTCAAGCAACAGGTATGAGTTAGAGTTTTGGTACAAAAGTTTAGTAACAGTTATTCTATTCCAGATTATAACTGCCACTCTGCTGCTAATCTTGAGGGTGTGGCATGTCTTAAGGATACCAGTACTAGATTTGGGGTGGAGCGTGGGGTGGCTGCATGGAGTATTTGCAGAGCACTCTCCCCAAATGGTTGACTTGATAGTGGTGGACATCATAAAATTCTCATTTTATCAGAGAGCAGAGAATCCCTTCAGGATAAATGTTGGTCCAGGAAATTTTTGGAAATTAAGATTATACAGTTTGCTTTGGTTGCAGCATGCTAACATCACTTTATGTGTTTAAATTAAAAAGAATCTGAAAAATAAAAAAAGTAGGTGTCCTTGTATTTACCTAACAGATCCTAGAGTCCTTAGAGTTCCTTGTTTATATTTATGGACACCCTCTGGAGGAAACATTTCTAATTTCTAATTTCTCCATTGCCAGATTAATTTGCTTATTTTTGAAAATAAGTAATTTTTATCCTGAAGCTATTTTAATTGCTGCTTTTAGACTGATATTTTTGTTGTTGTCGTATCTGCTATTTTTCCATTTAAGCCAAACAGCGAATATTTTTTTACATTAACAGATGGGCAGATATTGATAAAATAATTAAATAAAACACTTTGAGATGAAAAAACATATTGGATCATATAAAACATCCAGTTACCTATAACATTCTAATAGATGGCTCACGCTAATTTTAATCCATGTTAATTTTAGACATGTTTGTGATTATTTTAAGTTTAGGTTCATGTATTTATTTTCTGGCCTGCTTCTATAACAGACTGGATTTTTTAAAAAAAGTTACAAATAATTCAGTGAAATAACCTTTTAGTAGATCATAGTCCTCTACCTCTCTCCACCTCCCATCTCACCCCAGGTTGTGTTTTTCTGAGCCAAAAATAATATTACAAAATAATATCTGAATAATGCCTTCTGATCCATGGGTTGCCTGGGAAATGCTGCTAGAGTTCTTCTCTTTAAATGTGACCAAGCAAAAGAGGTTTAATGGTCTGAACAATTAAAAGATTTTTAAAATCTAGATACTATGGAATCCTGACATAATCTGTTTTAATTTTCTAGGTTTTTAAAATTTATATATTTTTTTAAATGATGTGTATCATACTCATTTCCCTGAACTTAATATATCAGGCATTGAATGATCCAGGATTTCTGTCTTTTTCACCAAATCTGCAAGTGGGTTTAGGCTGAGTCAGAGATGTCACAGGGCCACTGTTTGAAAGTCCCTTGGGTCAAATCCAGCCATCTGGTCACAACAACAAAGATGGAGAACTTCTGGGAATCAGCATAACGTCAATCATATGGCCCTGGTTTGCTATCGGGGTGGGGTTTTTTTGCAAGAGCTGCTGATTTACAACCACTTCATACATACAGTGTAGTTTCCATTCATTTTTGCATGATTCCCAAGACAATACGAACATTTCTAATAGTACTGTTGATGTATTTATCTACCCAATTCCTGAATGATTCTGTGTGGCTTGTAAAAAAAAACCAGATAGAGGAAAAACACAACAAGCCAGAAGAGTTCTAACTATCAATAGAAAAAAACCAAAAGCATTGGGAAGAAGGCGGAGCCTCCTCGCTGACGGACCATAGATTGCGACTCTCTGCGGCTATGGTCCGTGCTCTTTCGTTGGAGAGCCCCGATCATTACGATTAGGGGTTGAAGCTGTCTTGGGGGGGCGGAGTAAGGGGAAGCCGCAAGCCAGGTTGAGGGGAGCCGCATCTCCCCTCCTGGGCTTGGTCTTTTCCCCCCCTGAAGACGAATGCAGCTGTGGTTTAAAATGGCCACCCCAAAGAGGAGGACTCAGCTGGATAAGCTTTGTGCAGGAGGGAAGAAAGAGGTTTTAATTTCCCACAATGCCCTGGAATGATATATTGATAGCATTGTGGGAAAATTTGGAAGGCAACTGGTAGAACTACCTTCCTGGTGCTGATAAAAATATTTGCAGCTCAGGGATAATGGCAACAGCTTAAAGGTGACACATCTGAACCATGTATTACACTGAGATATACATTTGTATTACATATCTTACAAATAACATTTATTTGTGAGCATCATTCCATGGTAATATATGCCTTCACCTGCTGCTATGGAAACGGGACAAGAATGACTTCTTTTTTTTTTTAGGTTGGGGCTTCTTTCTTTGATTTTTGCCTCTGATTTTTCCAGTTTTCTAAAAATAAAAATGACATGAATCTGCAGTTTCTAAATTTATCTGTCTTCCCATTTTGGCTGTGTAGTAACAGCAACATCTAGTGGATGCACACGTTAGCATACAATAAAAAGACAACGATTTTGCTATGCAAGATGCATCCTTTCAGCTAGCCAAGTCATGCTGATGTTATTTTCTCTTCTGTGCAGAATTCAACATCCCTGCAGGGAAGCTTGGTTTCAATTTGTTAATTGTCCGATTTTCCAAACTTAGCCTCACAAGTACCTAAGTACTGAATATGCAAAATGACATTTAAAACAGTTTAAACCATTTTAATGTGCACAATGAAAAATAAGTAGTTTAGGTGTGCACAATGAAAAATAAGTAGTTTAGGTAACTTTTAGAAGGTTGCCTCCAAATCTAACTTCCAGGAGGGAGGTTGTTCTGAAGTACAGAGGCCGTGAATGAAAAGCAGCATCTCCTTGTCTCAGCCCAGCAAAATCTCATGATGATGGGACATCACCAGCAAATTTCCCCAGAATTGAAATCTTAGGATGAGTCAGTTCTGATTTGAGAGGACAGTCCTCCAGGTACAAAGGTGTAAAGCAGGGGTCCCCAAACTTGACAACTTTAAGACTTGTGCACTTCCACTCCCAGAATTCTCCAGCCAGCATAGAGCAAGTCTTAAAGTTGCCAAGTTAGGAGACCTCTGGTATAAAGGCTTAAAAGAGATTTACAGCTTAAAAACCAGCACTGTGAATTGCACTGAGAAACCTATTGGCAGCAAGAGAAGTGTAATTATGCTCATGGCTATGAGTGCCAGCCAACTAACATTCTGAATTGTTGCTTTTGAGCAATCTTCAAAGGTAACCTCATGTAGAGTAGTTTCATTTCAGTAGTAGTAGTAGTAGTGGTCGTCTAGACAAGTGACAATAAAAGTTTGGGTCACTGTAGCAAGGTTCTCTTCAGACAGGCTTAGGGTACTGATGAACAGTTTGGCATAATCTGCATATTGATAATGTACCTCACCTAGATCTAGAAGCGGCTAGAAGACAAATGACTCTTCTAACAGCTTCTTATAAATGTTAAAAAGCATGAGAGAGAACCAAATACAAGGAATGTATTGGGTGGTGGTGGTAAAATGTTATATATTATAGGGAAAAAAACTGACTAGCCTTGGATCCTGTGAGAGAAGGAGCACTCTTCGTGAACCTGCTTCTCAAAAATGTGTGACTGAAACTCCTGTTTAAGAAGCCTATTTGCTTTTCAGAATATGAGCTACTTTTTAGCATGTTTAGATGATATAAAGTGTTTTTCTTCTCTCTTTAATGCTTGGGCTGCCTCTAAGCAATACTTTTCTGATTTTAAAATGTGTGGCTCACACATAACAGAAACCTTAAGATAAAGTGGTAGGTAGCCTTCCATTCAGAAAAACAATTAAATAGGAATGTGTCAATCAATATCCATTAGCAATAATACTTAAATGCAATATACAAGTTAGAGCCTTGAGTACAGGGAATCCTTGATTTACAACCTTCATTTAGCAACCATTCAGTAGACATACAATGGCATTGAAAAAAAATGACTTATGACTAGTATTTACAATCTGTCATGCCCCTGGTGGAGACTGACTCTGAGGGAGAGGAGGAACAGCCGACGGAGTGGAAATGTGGCTCCAGAGATTGTGGAGGAGGCTGAGAAAAAGGGCAGAGGCTGGCTGGGCAGTCAGAGGGGAACCCAGACCCATCCCCTCTCCATCCTAGGGCATGCAGGGAGGAGAGAATAAGGAAGACACATGGTCTACTGGGGAGGAGAGGGCCTTGATCCTCTTCATGGGCTGCAGCTGTGACAACTGGATAAGAGGACGGACATGCTTACGGGCGAGTGCTGGAAACAAAGCGTGGCAATATCTCTAGTTTATTGTTCCTCTCTGAGTTTGGCGTCCTTCCCGGTGTGTGTTCTGATATCTGTGGATGTCTTCAAGCCCTTATCTTGCCTGGTTTGTGTTGTTTTTTACTCTTTATAATTTAAACGGCATTTCCTCCTCCTTGTAACTGCTTGTATGAAAGTTTTTTGTCTCCAGTCAAGGATATTTGGAGCTTGGAAGCAAAGTGAAGGAATAAAAGGGGCTTCACCTGTTTTTTGTGACTGTGTTTATTTTGTATCCCACCCTGGGTCATCATACAATCTCTATAGCATCCCCATGGTCACATGATCAAAATTCAGGCACTTGTCAATCCACTTGCATTATGTGGCTGCTATTTGCGGCCTTCCCAGCTGGCTTCAGACAAACAAAGTCAATGGGGGAAAGGGAGATTCACTTAACAACTGCACGATTCACTTAACAACCACAGTGTTTCACTTAACAACAGTGGTAAAAAAAACATAAAATCAGGTGTAACACAGTTAACCATCTTGCTCAGCAACGGAAATTCTGGTCCCAGTTATGGTTATAAGTCAAGGATTAGCTGTATAGGACACGGGGCAAAATGAGGGTGTATTTGGATAACAGTTACGTTGTCTAGATGCTGTTCTAATTTGGGCTTTTTTTTGCTGAAATTGCAATACATTAGTATTATTTCTTGCTAGAAGCTGTATTTATGGCTGGCTTCAACAGACTTGTAATTATCATCGTTTTGCTATTACAGTGATTCCATATAGAACTGTGATTATCCCCATTAAAAAGCTAAGCAACGTAATCACCACATCAAACCCTTGGATTTGTGTTTCTGGAGAACTGGGTGATACTGGCATTATGCAGATTCCAAAGAACTTGTTAGAAATGACCTTTGAGGTGAGTTCAACGTTGGGTGCTTCCTTGCCTGCTACAGCAAGTGTGGGATTTTTGAGTATCTGCAGAAAGTGCTTGTTCAAAAACCTGGGATAAACTTTTTGAGCGTAGCACAGCATTCCGTTCAAATGTGAATGCACAAATGTGTGCAGCATTGTTGGTAGGTAAAGAAACATGCCTGCTGTTCAATAAACCCTTAGTACCTCTACTGTCATATGCAATAGAAGCAAATTTTATCCTGCCTGTTTTCCTTTTTTAAAGATTTGGCAATAAAGCCTTTTTTTTAAAAAAAGTCCTCCCCCCCCCCCATCACTCATAACATGATATTCTGGTGATGTTTCATTTCCAGAGTTGCGTTAATGATGTAAATCAAATTCGTAAGAGCCTGAATATTATTGTCAGCTAATGGAATAAATAAAGGAAATTGTTAATAGTGGTCGTAGAACTTTTTCTCATAGCCTTGACAATGATTTGCCTGATCATGTCATTGTAGCTTGTATAACAGCTGCAATTCTATAAGAGTGGCATATTTTTATCTTATGGTTGTTGAGGAAAGTACTTGGCATATAGAATTCAACCCCAGCCTGAATCTGCCCTTCGTATTTTTGTGTGTCTTCATTTTTATCAGAATGAATTTGTTCATTCTGATTTTTTTAAAAAAAAATATTATATGACAGGTGTCCACTTCCCTGCCTTTTATTACATCAGGTAATAAAGGGTTTCAAATGTAGCCTTATTTAAGGAAACTGTTTTTAGCCTTAGTCTCCCCCGTATATGAAATATCCACATTGCTTCAGACATAATGCTTTCGGAAGCCTGATTTCACACATTTAGCTACCAGTCAGCAAAACTATTCAAGTGTGCGTGTCCATCATTTGGTATTATATTTGTTTATTCTCCTGGATGGCGAATGGCTCTTTGTATGAATTAACTGCTTTGTGCTGGAAGTGACATTTGCTGAAACAAACTTCTGTCTGACTCATTGGATTTCAGCAATCCATACAGTCATCAAACAATGGATACATATGTGAATAAGACCACAATTGCTTTGTTCTCTCAGACCATTCATTTGTAATATACATTCAAGCTTCATCAACCCAACCTTTTTTTTTTAAGCAAAAAAAAAAAAAAAAGCAGGGGAGGGGTGATTTTTGCCTACTCTGTATACAAGAAGCACAATTAGGATATAAATGTTCCCCCTCCTTTTTTTTCCCCCCTCCTTTTCTTTTACAGTGTCAAAACCTGGGAAAGCTAACCACAGTTCAGATAGGACATGACAATTCTGGACTGTTAGCCAAGTGGCTCGTGGATTGTGTCATGGTCAGGAATGAAATCACTGGGCACACCTACAAGTAAGCAAGGAAAACACAAATAAATCATTTCTAAATGGCCACCACAGATTCAACTTCATGTTCATGTCCTTGCAGTGTCAGCATAACTGGATAGGACTATTTTCATGTATAGGTAGTCCTCAACTTACAGCCATATATTTAGTGACCTTTTGAAGTTACGGTGGCCCTGAAAATGTGACCATTGTTTAAAGCAAAATTTAAAAGTTTTTATTGAGTGGTTTTAAGATTGTAATCTCAAAGTAGATTCTAATTGTTCAAAGAGAAAATAATTATTTGTCCAGTCTGGCAGTGCTTTATAAGAAATCTGCAAGTTTTCAAGTAGAAAGATGTCCTTTTCTTAACAACAGATCCAAAAAAGGCAAAACCACCACCACCAAGCATTCATCTGCTAATAGAAAGTCAAAAGTTGAACCGAGCTAGACCAAATCAGACAAGGAAATTGAGCTCTATAAATCAGATTTACATGCTGTACAAACATTTGTATTTTGTTTTTCTTGATTATATTACAGCTATAAAAGTTTAAAAGCATTCTCTGCTCTGGATTTTTTTAAAAAAGTTTTATCTTTGTAGGAACATTGTGCTTTGGGTGGGTGGGGAAGAGTGAGCATTCTCAGGAAGCACAACATAGCTAGAAAAACACTTCAGTTTCTATGTTGCTTAGCCAAAATCCAGCCGAATTCCATGTCCCATTATACCATAAAGCACCATTTATCTATGTATACAATATTCAAACAATTCTAGGAAATCAGTTAATGTGCAGAAGAGTTGATACTGCAAATAACTTCTCCCTTCTGGCTGTAGGAGTCTTCATGGCTAAGATATATATTGATTCTGCAGTGATCTCAAACTTCTGGGCTGACCAGAAACTGAGAATGTGATATGCAACACTTGTGTGCAAGATGCTGTGAAATTAATCCTGTCTTGGCAAGAACACAGAACTCAACTGCATCTTCCTTTCTGCCTTCAGGTTCCCTTGTGGAAGATGGTTGGGAAAAGGTGTTGACGATGGAAGCTTGGAACGGATACTCATTGGAGAGTTATTACCATCATCATCCGAAGAAGATTTGGGGAAACAGTGCCGGACTCCACCTCAACAAAAATCCCCAACTATGGCCCGAAAATTGAGCATCACTTCCCTCACCGGGAAGAATATAAGTACGCGTAACTACCTTCAGTAATAGCTTCTTGCATTGATATTAGGCATACAAGGCTGTTATTGGGGGAAATCTGTTGCCAAAGAGAGATAAATCTTTAGAATTTTAGTAGACTTGGTGTTACACGTATTAACTTTTCCCACATGTAGTAGATACATAAGGATCTTGGCTGAGTCAGGCCAAGCTTCTATTAATTCAGAATCTTGTTACTCTACCAGACTTTTAAGCTTCACTGAGCTTTTAGTCCAGGTGTTTTCAACACTTCCCTGCTCTTGATATTTTAATTCTTCAGTGACTTCTCATACATTGCAGCCAGAATCTGATGATATTTAGGAAGTGAGATTTTTCAAACAAGCATCCCTGCTTTAATATAAAATTAGTTCTAATGGACCAAAATTTTCTTAGGTTGGTCTAGTCCCAATTTCTGAAATACACATTTTTGTTATTTTTAATGTTATGGTGAATATAAAAGCATTGATTTTTTTTAAAAATCAAGTACCATTTTAAAAAAAGCAAGTAAGCAAGCAAGTAAGCAAGCAAAGAAAGGCTACCTGAAGCAATTATATTTCTTTGAGAAGCTCACAAGCCTCACAGCTGTAACGCTGTCCTACTTATTGTTGTTTCCAAACAACTGACATTCAGGCACTCAACTCTGTGATGACAGATGTCACGATTGGTGGCTATTGATCATCTTGCACTCCATAAATACAGTGCATATTTTACAGTTGTCCAAGTTGTCTGTGTAGGTGCCTACTATTTAACAGTAATAATGAAAAAAACAATGTAATATGCATGATGCAGACCCCCTGCCTTTCATTCTACCCTCAAGCCAGACATTGGCTGCAAGGCCATAAGTGATATTTTGGGCCATGATATCCTGACAAGGCTTTGTCACTTGCCCTCCATTAAAACCTACAGTATGGTTGGCTGGCACTGCATCTCATAATAGTGGACCCTGCCTATGCCAACTTTCAAAATCTCCTGGCTGCTGTGCTTGAAGTGCTAAATTTAAAGTCACTTCTCAGCAAAATTGAAAGTGTATATCTGAGAGACAAAGACAGTGCAGCGCTCTGGTAAATTATTGAACTAGAACAGTGAGACCCTGATTTGAAATTTGGTTCAAGTCAACCCTGGAAATTATTGAAATGATTTTTGGTCAGTCACTTGGTGACTTCCCTCCCTCACCCATCCTGTCAACTAAATCACAAATTTGTTGTAGAAGTAACATTGGAAGAGAGAATACTATATGCATCACGGTTTGGACCTTGGAGACATATAAGTCTAATGAATAAATCACTTACTGTTTTATTTCTTTCAGAACCTAATGCAGGTCAGATCCAAGAAGGCATAGGGGAAGCTGTGAACAATATTGTGAAACATTTCCATAAGCCTGAAAAAGAGGTAGTCTCTTAAACATTTGATGTAATAGGGCACGTTAGCAAATAACTTTAATGGTTGGTGAAATGTTGTACAGGTGGGCAGAATGATATTTATTTTATATCACATCAGATTCATCGTCCTCACAAATCATGAAGTCCTTTACCTCATTTTATTAATATCTTATTAGATCTTTGTTAAATAACAGTGATCCTGCAGTGTAAATTAGACAACTCCATGCATATAGCATACCTACACTTTTATATGTCTGAAACTGGCTGGCTGAAAGTATGAAATTTGCTTCAACAACTCCAAGGTGCACAAATCTTCCTATTGTTTCAGCCCCAGCTACTTTATGCATTATGAGGAGCTTCAAAACAATCGCAATGCCACTTAGAGTCCCTAAACAACTACAAACTTTGGTACAAGTTTTGGACACTTTGTTATAGGGGCCCTTAAACCAATGGAAGATATATATACTCTGGTGCAAGCACTTTCCATTCTCAATGAAATGTGAACTAGCATTTTAAAACAAGGGTTGTGCCATCTTGCAAACAGTTTTTGTTTTTCAGAAACATCAGGGGAGGGTGATCAAAACACTTAAGATGACAATTGTGTTCATGCAACTAAAGCCCTGTTTTTATTTACACACACAAACACATCACATACCTCATTCGGTTAAATAAAATATTACCCAACAGGATGTCCACAACATTGGTTAAAAAGCTCGAGATGGGAGCAAACCACAAAAAGGGACAACTTTTGTGTCTGTTGTGCTGTTAAGTTACCTTCTTGACTTTTTGGACTCTTCTCTATAGTCACTCTTTTGGAGTGCTGTGATTACCACAATTGCAGGCCCTGCAATTTTACCTTGCTGTAATAAATTTGCTAGTCTTTAAGATACCAGAAAGGTAATGTTACCCCAGATCATCCCAGCAATAATTGCCCTTGGGGAAAAAATTACCTACCTCTCTTCTACATCTTCTTTAGAAAACAAATGTTTGGAGAATTACACAGTGACATTTAAGCCTCCCTGGCATATCTCCTCAATCCTGTGCACCAAGGAATGACATTCTTGGAGAACACTCTACACTTCAGAATGAAAACAGGCATAAACCCTTGCTTGTTCTGGGGCCTTCTTTATATCCCCTGCATCACAAAAAATATTTTAAAGTTATATATAAAATGGTTAAATGGGCAAAAGAATGGTCTATAATTGGAAATGTACCAAATTAAGAATATGAATACTGTATGTGAAAATCTATAGAAGCTTATCACTATTCTGTTTTCATGAGCCTGTGAAAATAAAGGTTCAGAAGAAAGTGCTAACACAACATTTCTGATTGGTGTTAGATATTCCTGGGGCAGAATGTATATTTTGAGCCTTTCACTCCCCCCCCCTTTTTTTCCTGTAAATGCATGCTTTCTTTTGCTTAGTTGCCTCTCCTGAATAGGCGAAAATGAAGAGATGCTACCTTGCAGTTCAGCAATGCGTTATTCCAGTTGCAGCAAAACTCTATCAATATTTCTGTAAATTTCTGAACAAGATTTTTTTTTTTCCTCCTTCTGTAGCGGGGAAGCCTTACCGTTCTTCTGTGTGGGGAAAATGGCCTGGTGATGGCATTGGAGCAGGTTTTCCACCATGGTTTCAAGTCCGCACGTATCTTCCACAAGAACGTCTTCATTTGGGACTTCATAGGTAATGTACTGCTTCTTTAGTTCAGTTGGGCTCTGGGTAGTAGAGATCCATTGGAGTAAGTGGTGCTTATTGCTGAAAATAGCTAGGGCAGGGGTGTCAAACTCAAGTTCCGTGGGCCAGATCCGGGTAATTAAATGTGGCCCATGGGGCCAGCCTGGAAATAGCAAAGGATTGGCCTGCGGTGCCTCTGGCAGCCAAAATGGGGCATGGGAGGAGATGCGGCCTGTTGTCAGCCTGGACAGCCTCCTGAAGCACATTGCTGGCCAAAACAGGGCATGGGGGAACCCACGCAGCCCCCGCACAGCCCATTTTTGGCCTGAACGGCCTCCTGCACCCTGCTTTGGCCAGCAAAGTGCTGCAAGAGGCGCCATCCCGTCTCCCCTTTCCATCCCCACTGGCCCGGCCCAGAGGAGAACTACAATGCTGATCCAGCCCTCAAAGAAATCCAGTTTGACACCCCTGAGCTAAGGCAAGCCTACTGTTAGTCAGCAGCTGTGCTAAAATGTGGAAGGTTTGGCTGGTTGTTGTTTGGTATGAATTACAGGTAGTCCTCACTTAACAACTGGACCCTTGATGGGCATTCAAAGGTATGACCGATCCCAAAAAATTCACTTACGAAGTTACTACAACAGTCACCCCAACCACACCGACGCGATCATGTGATTGCTTTTCAAGCACTGGCTCAGATTACAAGTGGTTGCAGTATCCTGCGGTCATGTGACCACAGTTTTTAATTCTTTTTTTGCTGGTTTCGCACATTTCTGGAAAAAAAGAACGCTGATCCGGGAGAATGGATTTGTTTAACCATTATATTGTTCACTTAATGGCCAGGATGATTCGCTTTAGCATCATAGTAAAAACAATTGCAAAATCAAGTCAGCTCCTGCAATGATTCATTAAGGACCACAACAACTTAATGTCCAAAATTCCAGGCTGAATTATGGTCATTAAATAAGGCAACCACAGTTTCGATCAAGGGTCCCCAAACTTGGCACCTTTGCTGGCTGAGGAATTCTGGGAGTTGAAGTCCACAAGTCTTAAAGTTGCCAAGTTTGGAGACCTCTGGTTTAGTTCTTAATTCAGAGACCACCACCTTCAATTCTAGAACCTTATTGGGGGCTCCCCCCACCCACCCATCCAGCCTTCCCACCCAAATGTTGGTGATGTCTGAAACCTTTTTTTTTTTTGGAGTAATGGGGCTTTTAAAGGTGGGAATGAAAGCAGTTTTGTTAGAAGAGACTGTAACTCAGGATTAAACTATGGGGTCCTTGGAACTCTCTGATCTTAGTTGATTTTAGAATAGTCAAAATGAGCTATTTCTGAGCTAATCCAGTTGTTTTTTGGGGGACTGCTCTGGCTGGGGTTTCTTCCCCCACTACAAACACTGAGACTGAAAGAGAGTAATGATGGAGACAAATGGTTTAACTGTTCCCCATATTGTAGCCAGAATCTCTCCAAATCGCTAATATATCCTGTGCCATAGCTTCCCTTTGTTTCAACAGGTCTGCCTTTGCAGAGTGATTCTTAATTTACAGTTCCAGTGTCAAGTCAGAGAATGCAGAGATTATGTCTGCAGTAGACGCCTTAAGGGTAGCAATTAGCTCTAAATCCATGGCTACAGTGTCTTAATATGTTAGGAATGCATTTACGGACCTAAATTAGCTGTGGCTCTAGCACTGACTTTGCTGTCATTCATAACATTCACTCCATACGTAACTGCAAAAAATTTACTCTAACTTTTCCTTACTTAATAAGCATTTGCAAAGTGATAATTGGCACAAATAAAGTCTTGTCTTAATGCTGGCTTGCTAGCTAGACATTCAAGGTAACGCTTAAAACGGAACTGTGCTCAGCTACATAATTGCACAGCTAACATATATTGCAATCATCTCTTTGAATTGGGTGCAGTACTTCCATTTTTTATAGTACAGGTAGTCCTCGACTTACAATAGTTCATTTAGTGACTGTTCAAAGTGACAACGGCATTGGAAAAAGTAACCTATGACTGTTTTTCACCGTCACAATCTTTGGAGCATCCCCAAGGTCACCTGACCAAAATTCAGACACTTGGCAACTGACTCCTATTTATGACCGTTGCTGGGTTCCAGGGACATGTGATCCACTTTTGTGACCTTTGACAAGCGAAGTCAATGGGGAGGCCAGATTCACTTAACAACCAGGTTGCTAAGATATCAACTGCAGTGATTCACTTAACAACTGTGGCAAGAAAGGTAGCAAAATGGGGCAAAATTCATTTATTTATTTGATTTATATTGCCGCCTATTCGCCCATGGTGACTCGAGGCGGCTTACACAATGTAAAACCATATTTAAAACAAAAAATATAAATAAAAAATAATAAAAACTAACAAAAAGAATCAAATAAATTAGTAAAGTACAATAGAACAAAATTTGGGGAAAAAACCCAGATGTTTTACTTAACAACAGAAATTTGGGGCTCAGTTGTGGTCGTCAGTCAAGGACTACCTACATGCTGTTTAGCGCAGCCTACTTTTACCAAGAAAAGCTTTTGTTTGAATGCCTTGTGAAAATCCAAATGCATTTTATCTGAAAATAAACTCAAGGGCCTTATATTAATCTCCAAAATTTTTGAGTTGGGTGAAGGGTCAGAAGGAAGCGCCACTGAGTTCAGTGGAAATATACCGTGTGCCTTCAATTCATTCCTAAATGTGTTGAGTAATTGAAAAAAATCAGAAAGGCAAGAGGCAGGGACTCTATTGGAACACTATTTTTTTTAATCAAGTGACTTTCCTGGATAAAATAGCAAATTCACTGACTAAGACACTGTTCTGTGTTTGGTGACTTCATTCTCTCTTTTGTCCATGTTCAGAAAAAGCTGTTGCCTATTTCGAGATGACTGACCAGATTGAAGACAATGAAGACAATGTCCTTCTTCAAAAATCCTCTCGCAAAACCTTTTGCCACTACGTCAGTGCCATCAATACTGCTCCGCGGAACATAGGGAAGGATGGCAAATTCCAAATTCTTGTTTGCTTTGGAACGCGGTATGTAGAGACTTAAAACATAAAAGCGTTTTGGAATGCTATGCACCGTGGAATGGTGTTGAACGATGGAGGCCAAAATTCTCAGCCTTGGTAGCTGACTAAAACCATTATCCGTTCATGATCTGTTCATCATTGCCTCCAGAAGTTGTGAATGCTCCAACACTGGAAGTTTTAAAGAATAGACTGTAGAACCATTTGTCTCAAATGGTATAGGGTTTCCTGCCTGAACAGGAGGTTGGACTAGAAGACCTCCGAGGTCTCTTCCAACTCTGTTATTCTGTTCTGTTCTATTATCTCTCAGTTCATTTACTCATAGAGTAATGAGTATAATGGTGTCAGGTTGGAGGAGGGCGTGCTACCAAGCCACCTTATATTCCTGGAAGAAAAGCAGATTGTGAATCTTTCAAAGAAATATATGATTTTCTTAGTACAAGCCAATGTCACAATTGTCAAATAATTGTTATCTTTACTTATATTTATTATTAATATCTACCTTTTATCTATTTTACATATCTACATATCTATGTATTACTCTCTTAGGAATTCTCCTATATCATCTTTTTTCAGTCCTTATCTCTATTTTCTAACCATGCCAAATTGAGTAATAATCAGATTCTTCTTTTTCCTTCATTTTTAGTGTGAGTGTAGCCATTTCTGCGCAATCTGCTATTTTTTGTAAGACTAATTCTTCTGTTGGAAGAAGTACAAGCCAATGTCACAATTGTGATAAGTGGTGACTTGCCTAGGACTTCTATGGCATCCTTTAAATTAGGATTTTGAAAGCAGGGTGTTTTTTTTTAAATAGGCTTTTTCATTTGATTTTTCAAATTATAATCTGTATCTAACCTCTTTTCTAAAAAATATCATTTACTTTGTTACTTTAAGGGTTGTCAGAAATAATTATTGTATTTAATATAAAATCAGTGATGTATTTTGTTGTCTTAAGGTATCATTCTAGCATATTTAGACCTCATTAGGAAAAATAGATTTACCTTCAAAAACATAACCATCCCATGTGCGAAAAATAGTCTTGGGTCCATGAATACCTGTTCTTCCAAGGAGGGGAAAAAATCCAGGTGTCCTATCCAGATAGACAGAAACGGTCAAATGCCCTTTATTTCCTTGAGAACTAAGAGTTCAGTATACTGGTTGGAAAAAAATATTTCTTGCCACTGTGACCAGATGATAGAGATGAGCAGAAGATAGAGAGCCAGTTTGGTCCAGTGGTTGAGGCTAGGAAGTTGAAGACCGTGAGTTCAAGTCCTGTCTTAGCTGTGAAAGCCAGCTAGGTGACTTTGGACCAATCACTCTTAGCCCAGCCAACCTCATGGTGGCTGTTATGGAGAAAACAAGAGGAAGAAGGTGTGTTGCATATGTTTGCCATCTTGAGTTATTTGAAAAAAATAATAAAGGCAGGATACTAATAGATGAGTGTGTGATGAATGCAGAGAGCAGAGGCACCACAAAGACAATGTCAGATAAAGGAGAACTGAGCGTGGGGCAGGAATGTAATCTGAGTAAATGTCTCAGATATGACCCTCCTTAATTCCCACAAAGAGAAAGGGAGGGAGGGGGAAACACATTTTACACTTGCAAGTTTCTGTTACTAAAGATTTACACCAGGGGTATCAAGCTCGATTTCACTGAGGGCCACATCAGGATTGTGTTTGATCGGGGGGGGGGAGCGTGGGCAGCTCAACATCAGTCCTGTCAGGGGCTCTGCCAGTGAAAACAGGCTCCCAGGCTCCAGTTTCGGCTGCAATGGCCTCCTGCAACCCTCTGCCAGAAAAAACGGAGCTCCCAAGTTCCGTTTTCACTGGCAGAAGGCACTCCAGGCTGATCCTTCCCTGTTTCCAGGGCAGCTCCACAGGCCAGATCTAAGCCCCTGATTCGGCTCACAGGCCTTGAGTTTCACACCCCTAATTTACACTAAAAATAGTCCTGACCTACATAAAGTTGTATCCCTAGAATGATCTACCTTGAAAGGATGATAGCAGCAGCTGCTCTTTTCCTTCCCTGTATTATCAAAATGCAAAAAAAAAAAAAAAAAAAGATGAATAAATAACACAAAAATAGCATTTACTGGTAAGCCATATGCATTTCAGCCTATCCCTAGGTTTTCAGGCAATTCATTAATATGTTATTAGCAAAAACAGAATAAAACAGAACAAAATTGATTCCCTGAATGCATTACAAAATCCTCCTATGGCTTCTTGGCATCCAGTCTTTAATCATGTTTCTAACTACTTTAGATGTAGCCTGGCAGTCAGGATTTATTTTAATTTTATTTTATTTTTGTTTAATTTAAATCCATTTTCCATCTTATGCCAACAATATAGTCACACCTGATACAACTTGGTGATACTTTTCTCTACAGGGACCATTTGCTTGCCCAGTGGATTCCGTTACTGGCGGAATGTCCTCTGCTTAGTCGGATGTATGAAGAAAACGCTCTTCTGCGCGATCGCATGATGGTCAACTCCCTTATCCGAGTCTTACAGGCACTGCAGGACTTCAACATTGTCTTGGAAGGGTCACTCATCAAAGGGGTGGATGTGTAACCTTGCAGAACAATTTTTGTCTCTCCCTCTCACACTTTCTCTCCTTTCCTTGGCAAACGAAACATACCGCATGGGCAGAAATCTGTAAAAATGCAATTGTGTTGGTGATCCTATCCCGCTCTGTGTGTAGATCGGCTTGTTGGTAAATGGGAAGTGGCTGTGACAAGACTTGCACATGCCTCGTATTTTTACTCTGCCCCAACGCTGCAAAGGAGCTCAGCTATAGTATCATAGTTTTCAAATGAGAGGTTTTGTACAAAAGAGTATTTTCATGTGTTGACTGTGTGTAAATAGGCTGTCTTCCTTTAGAAATGCTAATTTTTTTTTCTTAGAATCAGTGTTCTAGAGCCAGGGGTGAGGGGAATGTAGCTTAAAATAACTTTGTAGGGGAAGGGAGGAAGTATTACTTGCGCATAAGGGGGGGGGAACCACTTCATGTTGTAAATATTGTACAAATGTAGTGGGGGGTAAGGAGGTTGTGTTGCAAAGGTAGCCACTGCTGAACCTCTTGCGTGAGTCTATGTTGTTTGCCGCTTCCTTGTATATGTTGATCTCTTGTTATGCCATTTACTGTAGATTCAAACTTTTTTTTTGTCTGTGCACTGAATCATCTCCAGGACATAGAGATTCTTCATCTTCCTGATGGATCTTGTCCGTCAGCTCAAGGAATCGGGTTTTTTTTTAACCCTGAGCAATCCTTGTACCACGAACAGGAAGATGTTTTAGAAATTTTGCCACTGGAGATGATAACAATGGAAGAAAAACAGTATTATAATTGTGATTGTTAATTATATTTTCAATTTCCTCCCTTTGCTCATTTTAGGCTCACAATGCTTCTTCCATATTACTTTCCTAAAAGAGTAGAAAGAAAACTTGGAAGAAATGTGATGCTTTGCCATCAGCAATTTAGGTAGAGTTCCTTCAAATAATTTTGGATAAAGACTGCAATAAGCCATGCTTCATTCTAAACCCCGTTTGTTGTATTGAGTTTGAATTAGCCTTGCAGAAGTGCAAAACAGGCTTATTTTACCTGGTTTGTTTATTTTGCTGTTCTTGCACTGTGCCGATTGATTTGGATAAAAACAAACCAGGAATAAGCCAGGAAAAAAACCATACCATGCAGGCTTATTAACATTCCAAACCACAGTAAGAGTAATAAAAATACCCTAAATTAACTACCATTTAGCCCCCAACTCACTGGCATGTAATGACAACCCAAAACCAAATCATAATGCATTTAAGCAACGTATGCAGCTCAGCTCATAAACCTGTGTCTATTCCCTCTCCTCTCCTGTATCTCGAAAAGTTCGCACATTGCTTATTATATTGGACGACTTTCCCATTTGATGGTGTGCTCATATTTCTGCTCAGATTCCTCGCATGAACAAGAACCTTGCTGCAAAAATTGTAGATAAGACCCCACCCACATCTGGTTTTTATATAGAAATGGCTTTCTAAGCAGAACAGACTTAATGTTGAAAGCCGGTAAGTTACATTACTGTACCTGTGTGGTTTGGGAACTAGTTCTCCATTGCTCCTTAACACACCATTCAAAGATAAGGAACATATAGTCACTGGGGAAGACGCAATGGTAGCACAGAAAATGGACTGAAATGTAATTTCTCCCATGTAATCCTAGCATTCACAGGTTACCCCGGGAGACATATACAAGTGGATAAAATTCATCGCAAGGGGGATTTCACAAGCGGAATGTGAAACTGGCTTTTGAAGGCCAGCAACTTCAAATCCAACCGGGAGGTGTAAAAAATATCTCCACATAGCTTCCGCAGGAAGAAAGCAAGAGTCCAATTATTCCTTACTATGAACTTTATCCCAGTGATTGGAAACAAGATCTTGAAATACCACAAGGAACCCCAGGTAGAGTAATATTGATGCCGAGCAGGTGTGTCTATGACATGGCATATTTGTCCAATGAGCTAAGATGCAATCCTAATTAAAGCTGATGAGAAGGGTATTATGTCATTTTTCCTTATTTGATACGTGTGTACTTTTCACAATTAAGCTTTTGAAAATTCAGCTCTTGGCTTCAACCTTCCCATAAGCAGAGAATAATTGTAATTTCGTATCCAGTCCCTCACCTTACCTCGAAGAGACAGACTTCGGACTGTGATTCTATTTAATCTCCATTTCAGCTTTTTGTTTAATGGCCTTTTGTTTAATGCCTCAAAAATGGGGATCTAGACCCAGATACAGAAAAGGATCCAGATGGAGAAAAGGAATAGAGGCTGTCAAAAATACAGATGACATGTTTTGTTTTTCTGGATGCCAAGGTTTGTTTTCAATAGTATGGCATTAAAAAAAAAAAAGGCTAATGCTACTTGGGTGACTCCATTCATTCCAGATGAACCAGGAGCGAACTAGATTGCTGAACAGATTTCTGCCCCATTTTTGCATCCGTGGGTCTTGTTTGTAAATCCTTTCCTGCTGACAGGATGTAAACAATGTTAAATGCATTATGCTCGAAAGTCACATCTTCCCTCATATGTCATGCTCACTATCTTCCCTGACATAGTTTTGTTTCACAGCATATGAATGGTGTGCAAGGAACATTATGTACAGTATGTTCTTTTTAGGCAATAAAGTACTGTATAACTATGTAGTATTATTACAGCCTTGAGGTATTTTTGAAGCATGGGATTGAGCTCTAATAGATTAGTCTGTTTGATGACTTCAGGAGTGCAGTTTTTGGTGACTTCTTACCTATAGTGTGCAACTTTTCCCCTCCTTTAAACAGGCAGCACTGATCACTTGGGCCCGAGTGATTTGGTCTGTCAAACATTCAGAAATCATGAAGATGTACTTCTCAAAATGGCGAAGATCACGCTTTCTAAAATTTAGCACATCCTATTCATATCAGTGTTAACCGGTTATTCGTTTATAGAAGCTGAATATTTAAAATTACCAAAGCTTTCTGTTAACTTACAAAGTAAAAGGAAGAACGCTATGTTTTTTCTAGTATTGCTATGCTAGCATAGTTTAAAAAAAAATACCAGAGAAAACAGAATACAATTGAGAAGTGGATTAATATGTAACCATAATGAAATTGTTTTAATTGCAAACTTTGCCACTGCAACCCATTTGCTCAAAAGCTAAGTTTCACTGTGTTAAATGAGACTTACCTCTGAGTGAAGAATTTTGGGTTTGTGCTGTTAATTGTCTCTTCTGAATATGTTTTAAGAATATGCTTGTGGTTATTTCATTGATATACACCTTCCTCCCCAAGCAAGTGTCTATCACATAAGGAAATGTTGTGTGTTAAACTTGAAATGTACAAAATACCTGGTGTACTTACTAAATATTTCATTTTCCTCAACCATTGTTTCTTTGGAATATGTTGCTATTTTATCTTTCACATTAGGAGATTAATCAGGATTGGATAATATTCAGGAAATGAATATTGGTTGAAAAGTATTGTTATTTCAAGCACTTTAGCATACATATCACAGACTGAAGCGGGTTTGTTTTTCTCCAGGGTTTGGATTAAAACGAAATGCAGCTTTTCATGCAATGGTCTTTACAAATAAAACTGTGAGAATAGCAAAATGTGTCCTGTGCAATTTGTTACAAAAGAAAACAAAATAAGAAACCAGAAAAATAATCAATGTATTTTCTGGGAATTCTGAAATATTTATATCATTACCTTGGCAATACACAAGATCAAAACCAGTAAAGAACCTAATATATAAACTTCTGGTGACATTACAGGAAGACTGTCTAGAAAACCTGTTCTGGATTATTTGCTGTTGATCTGATGAAGAGGTATTAAGTCATGCAACATATGTACAATTCATTTGAACAGTCCACACAGCGATAATACAGAAATTACTAATGACTTGTTAACTTTGGAAGAATTAAATAATGGATAAGACAGTTATTGAAAGCTTGAAATTTACTGCAGGAAGGCAGAATATTTAGTCTTTAACTTCAATCTTTTTAATGAAAGACTTAACATGGCTAGTTTCCATGTTATGTTAAGCTTGCAGGGCCGGCACGTTGTGCAACAAGGTCATAGGATAAATAACATTGGGTTTGGGTTAGGGACTTCTGTCCTCACTGTGAGTTGTGTGTGTGTGGGGGGGGTTGTGTGCACGAAGGGAGGCTCAGCCAATCTCATTGTACATATGTACTCTGACAAAGGTAATAAAAATCTGTTTAAAACTGGTTTGTTGAAACTAATTCCATAGGGCTTCAACAGACATAAAATGGGTGGATTTGAAAATTGTGATCAGCCACAATCCACACAGCCCACCATATTATGCATGAACCAAGCCATTGTTGTGTTAATCCACTTTTACCGTTTGCCATTTAAATTACCATCTCTGAAGGATGTTTTGTGTTTTCATTTTTCCAAATTTATCCCTTGCCAAGTTCCAGTTGCTGATGGCTGTGCTTCGGCTCATAAAACAGGCCATTTGCATCCATTTGCCCATAAACACAGAAGAGCTTTGAATGAGCTCATATTTCAAAGCTGACATGTGACTGATGGGTGTTTTGTAGGGATTGTGCCCTCATAAAATAGGTAAGGTGACATTCTGCAGGAATGACCCGTCTTAATGCTTAGAAGAGACATCATCTGACATTACATTGATGAGACAATGGAGAACAAGCACATTGTCAGGATTTTTTAAAAATTATATTTTAAACCTAACTTTAATATCGTTTCGCTGAAAATACAACCTACCTTGAAAGTAAGTCCTAGCTTGATTTTTATGTGTGACCAATATAAGCCCTACCCCAAAATAAGCCCTAATTAAGATCCTGCCTTGGTTTTTGTGCTAGGATTGGAACTTTGGTTTGTTCTATGAATTTTATTATATTTCTTTTGGTTGATAGTCATTTATGTAAGATGGAATTTCTAATTAATATAAAAACATGTATTAATGTTCATACACATTTACTGCAGTCCCAAGCATGCGTAGCCTAATTTTAAAAACATATATAAAAGCCTATTCAGACAAAAATGCATATTTGATTTTTACCTCACATATATTTTATATACATATACATATATACATACATACATACATACAAACATACATACATACATACATACAAATATATATAAAATATATGAGCAAAATACCACTCATGTATCATCACAAAATCTCCAGAACCGTAAAGCCTACAAACTTGAAATTTGGCGCGTATGTTCCTCTTGGCTTCTAGGTGCTCGCTAAGAAAGGATTTTTCAAAATGACCATGACAGCATTAGTATTTCCTATATTATTATTAACACATTATGATGCTAAGGAGTTCTACTCCTCCTGGCCACCTGAAATCTGTTCCAAATGCAAAACACAAGCAGAGGAGTTTCAGTTTTAGTTTCACAGCAGCAACCAGCTTTAGTACAGAACAGGCTCCTTGCTGTCTCCTTGCTCACACAGCAAATACTGTGTCAGTTTCCAAACAGCCCTCAACTCTCTCATACACTGACAGGATGCTAGCCAGATGAATACCGATGGAAGCTGGTAGGCAGAGACAGAATTTTTCCCCCCTTATTTTCCTCCCCAAAAACTAACCCTGACCAGAAAAACACGGGTATCGGGCTAGTTATTTTATAAATACCTTAAGGCAGCCAACTTATCTAATCATCCTTCCTCCTCCTATTTTCCTGACAATAACCTTGTGAGGTAGGTTGTGTCGGAAAGAGTGTGACTGGCCCAAAGTCACCCAGCTGCTTTCATGCCTAAGGCAAAACTAGAACTTAAAGCCTCATGGTTGCTAGGCCAGCACCATTCACCACTACACCAAACTGGCTCTTAAATTCAGCAGAAAACACAGACAATCCTGCTTACACTTACTTATGTGCTAATTTATTGTTACCAAGCTTTACACAAACATAAAAACACCGTTTCAATGCTGTATGGCATTTTAAAGCACATTTCTATGGCCGTATTGAAAGATTTACTAACGTGGTGCCTCTGTGAACAGTACAGCATCTCAGTTGATTTTGTTTTAAATACGAGTTCCAGTTGATTGCCTCAAAAACAAACTCAGCTTAGAAGGAGATGCATCTTTTAATATAGGTTCTCCACTTATGCACATAATATTGTTTATAGCTTGACACGGATGTAAAAAACAAACCTCCGCTGAGAAAGGCATCAGCTGTCCTTTTTATACATGTAGAAAGTTTCAGCGTGGCTAGGTATCTTCTGCCAAAATATGGCTATGGTATATTTATTACCCGGGCTTACAGTACAATTTCCTTAGTCACTCAAGATGCTACTGCAATTCTGGTTTGTAAACAAGAAAATTACACATTAAAGGAAATACAATAATGAGAAGCATATGTGAAAATAAATCTGCAACTGGAATGCTTACTTAATCAGATGTGGCCTCTATTTGCTTTGGGGAAACTGAAAGTCAGAAGACCACTTAACAGTTAAAGCAGAGCAATTTGTTCTGCATAGCTACATTGCCAGAATTGGGAATTAGTGGGTTTGAAAGACAAGCATGTCACATTTCCAATTCTCTCAAGTATATCAAGGGTTGACTTAAAATCAATGAACTTTTAAAATCCATCCAAGTCAAAGAAGTTGATGTATATTTCCTGAATCAGCTATGCATGATTGCATAAACAGCTCTTAACAAACTTGCAGCTCCATTAAGTTACTCAGACCTTAATTCTATTTACTTCTTTATTTGAACGTGTTTTACTTAAAGATAAAAGCCTCTCTCCTGCTGTGTGTTTTAAAAGGTACCAGAATTGTTTCTGGAAATTGATGCCACATAACATTGCTGCAGTAGGCAGAAAAATGAAATGTAAAAGTCCAGTTTGTTAATGTACATTTAGATTAAACTAATGAGACTTGTAGACCAGAATTCTTTGGCCAGTGGAACTATGAAAAAATTCCTAATCATAGTATCAAAAAGGAGTTACCAGAAAAGTCTCATTGTCACTTGTATTTGGGAGCCATTTAGAAAGGATTTAATTTAACATTAGGAAGAATACATAGGCAACAGGAAGTCAGTGATAGTCATTGCTAGGCAGAGCTGAGTTCACTCAACTAAATCATGGTTTGTGTGCTCATGGTTTGTGGAATAAACATATTGGTGGCTTTGCACCCCAGATGATTAGTAAATCATGCTTTATCCAGATGATTTTCGGCCTGTTTGAGGGCTTTTTCAGCCTCCCAGAGGCTTGAGGAAAGCCTTTGCAGGCCGAAAAATAGGCCCGTTTCATCACTTCCTGTTTCCGGAAATACAGGCCCATTTTTCTTCCTGCAAAGCCTGCAGAAGCTTTCCTCAAGCCTCTGAGAAGCCAAAAATCAGCTGGGAGGCACAATGCAGGTAAGGGGCGGGGGGAAGTGATGGGGGGGCGTACGCATTGCCTTCTGGGTGCTGGCACGTGAGCGCAAGCATGAAAGTGCACACACAATTTTTGGCACAGGAGCCCCAAAAGGTTAGCCACCTCTGGCATAGTTAGTATATTGTGTGAACTCAGTAATTTACCTTGTTATGAACTAACATAAACATATTTAATAAAGCTTGACAACCTTGC